ATGTGTATATATATATATATATATATATATATATATATATATATATCTACACAGAATTTATTATATATTTGTAGAATTATCTAGTAGCATTTTTTGCATGTAATATTAAAAAAAAGGATTTTTTAAAAACCATACAGTGATTCTGGGATTCCCTGAATTTTCAGCTGCTGCCTTTTCTATTCTGCATCTGGCAGGTTCTTCTTCCTTTCAGTTTGTGCATTTCCTATATTCTAAAAAGTAAATAGAAACAAGGACCTTAATTGAGGAAATGGTGAGTCTTTGGCTAAGGAAATATAGCCACAGATAAGTACTTGTACTTTGCACCTGGAGGCTGTTTCATAAGGTTCAGGGAGACTATCTAGCAAAGTATCCTCATTATCATCATGAAACAGAACTGAAGGTAATTTTTGTATGGGCTTGATCTCCAGCAGGGGGCATGCAGGAGGCAACCCTCTCATAACAATGTTTTTTTCTTTTCCTCTCCCTTCCTCTTTCTAAAAATCAGTGAACTATTATTTTTTAAATGTAATCAGGTGTTTTTTTTTTTTAAATAAGAAACTGGGATAACAAAGTTGCTGACCTCCCGAAAATAGAAGGCTAACTATGTGATTTAATTCAGTGGGTGCTCTGCACAATCCCCTTCTTTCAAAAGAATACGTTTAGAGAGTATTCATTTGGATGTTTAGGGCTTCAGATTTCCAAATAAAATTCAAGACTCTCTCTGGTGGGTCGGGGCTGGGACATTTCAACAAGATTATCTGATAGCTAGCTAAGAGCAAATATTTGTGAAAATAGGACAGCAGGTAGACAGAAGGTATTCGAGAACAAATTGGAGGGGAAAAAAAAACAGGAAGTGGCCAGTATAACCATAAGTTTATACCATTATTCATTTCCTCTGGCATAGGTTACTTGTCCAATGCTTGGTAATACACATAACACATACTCCTTTCCCTGAATACAATATTCTAATCACTTCAACATTCAAATAAAGGCTGGTATTCATTACCCTCCCCCGCAAAAAAGTTATAAAACCTTTAGTAAGTAGTTATTCTGGAAATATATATATATCTGTTTCTCAACTTCAAAGATTACAGAATTTTAAATTTTTACATAACTTTTCAATGATAATAATTAAATTTACACACCAAGTCAAGGATTCTAAACAGCATTCTTCAGTTAAATCTATAAACAAAAAATGTTTTACCTCTTGTTTTTCTTGATTTTGGTCCACATTAAGTAAAGTTGGTATTTTAGATGAATCTGTTTTCTTTGATTCCTTCTTCGGCACTTTTATCTGTTTAACTTTTGCAAAAATATATACAACAATGACAACTTATTATTCTTCATGAAAATTTTACTTTCCTTTTTAAGAGTTTCAAATGGAAATTCTGATGCCCACTTAAGTCAGTTCCTCACTTTATTGAAAAGGAACTGAACAAATTATAAGTTGTAATGGTAAAATGCACCAGTCATAAATTATTTGTTTTATAACTTTACAAGTAATATATCATTAAAAGAATACATGTATTTTTTTAAATTCTGAGTATAACTGTCAAATGGATCAGATAATTCCTCTTGAACTGTACAAGTACTATATTCTTGTTATTATATTAAGTTTTCACAAGGTGTCACTGTTCTTCAAAGAACATAACATTTACTCTGCCAAAAATGAGTTTCATTTTAAGAAATCAATACCTGTTAAAAATCTTAATCTACTAATTCCGTGAATTCCTGAAGCTCATATATAATTCCTGCCATTATATGGGCAAATAATCATGGGTAAACATAGGAAATTGATTTGTTCCAGATCATATACTGAACCAAAACCACCTTCTTCAAATACTGTTCTTAACATTTCAACAATACTAAGCTAATAAACTATTTAACTTCTAAAGTTTTCTTAACCTTTCTTTAAAATTTTCTCATTTAAGTCTCACCCTTTATTTGATGATGGGGGGTGAGGAGAGGGCATCTTCATCTGCTGAAAATATTTTTCACAGTAATTTACTATTTTCTACCTAAATCACACTATAACATGCAAGTTATGTTAGAAAAAAGGTTTTGTGAAAGATAACATTGGGAGATTTGTAATTCTATGCAAAAATTATGTACCTTCCGTTCTTTTCATCTCATTTGATTGTATTATGAAAGGCAATTTTGGGAAATGGAATTCTTTCCTGTCAGATCTGGAAAAATTCAGCTTCCTTTTATTTCCACTTGCCATTTGGTCACTTTGACTTGTCCGCTCACTAAATACACCTTTCTCCATTTGGTTCTAAACAAACAAATAAGCAAGAGTTAATTTGAAGAAAAATGTGTAACTATTCAATGACAAGCCTAGAATTATTAGCCATTCAGATGGTATAAGGCAGTGGTCGGCAAACTGCGGCTCTTTGGCCCCTTGAGTGTGGCTCTTCCACAAAATACTGACTTCTGCGCATGGGCCACGAAGTTTCAATCGCACTGTACGTGCGCGCCCGCACGTGGTATTTTGTGGAAGAGCCACACTCAAGGGGCCAAAGAGCCATATGTGGCTCGCGAGCCGCAGTTTGCTGACCACTGGTATAAGGTATGCATAGCAATGCCTTCTAAAAGAGAATACCAATAAATATATAAACAGATTAAAGTTCAATAAAAGTTTCATAAAGCAACATTATTTTTAGCATATTGAATATTCTGAGAATAATAGTCTTGATCATGAGAACCACAATCTTAACTTTTAATTTTTAATCCTATTCATTATACTCTGACTTTGGACAAATTGCTTCAATTCATTTTATTAAAAATTTACTTTTCTAGCCCTCACCAGTGTGGCTCAGTTGGTTCAGCATCATCCCATGCACCAAAAGATAGCAGGTTCAATTCCCAGTCAGGGCACATGCCCATGTGGTGGGTTCAATCCCCTGTAAGGGTGTATATAGGAGGCAACCGATCAATGTTTCTCTTTTTCTCCCTCTTCCTTCTTCTCTCTCTAAAATAAATAAAAACATATTGTTATTTTTTAAAATTATTTTCAATTTAAAAATAATGTGCTCTGGACACTGGGAAAACCCAAAAGGAAAATAAATTACTTGTGAACTCAGCATTCTGGAAAACCTTTTATGTTTTCTGATGTTGCTCATTTGACAACAGATGATAAAAACTTTCCTAGGTTACTGAACTGTCTGGCTTCAAGGTGAGGGCTGAAGGAGCAGCTTTCTCCCAGACTCAAGTGCTGGCAGAGGCCATTGTTCCTCTGCCCATTCCCCCCAGAGCTGGTGGCCGACTCCACATCTGAGTCTCCATCAATCTAGCTAACTAACATGTTTCCCCAGCCCTGATGATTCCCTGAAATCCCACTGCACCCAGTTTGTAGGCATACAAGTCCAGTGGTTTTTCCATATAAACAGCCTCTCTTGCCTCATGCTTCAGACTTTCCTAAAATCTCACAAACAAGTAGCATCTGGCCTCTGTGTACCCCATATCTTTGCTAAGTGGCCCCACGCCTGACACTAGTAGCAGCCAGCCTCAGATCACAGCTTGGCTTCCCCTGGGCACCTCTAAGCTCAGCATAAATAACAGCCATTGGCAGATTGCTTTATAGCTCATGCTGGGTGGCCCCAGGCAGGGCACAGGTGGTGGCTGACCCAGTGGATAGCTTCAGACCACACCAGATTACAACCCAACCACCTCCATTAGTGACACACTCAAGGGGCAGATTCAGTGGGCATCAAACCCCACTGAGGCAAGTCCTTTTCCCTTAGTTTCAGCTGGTCCTAGAAGCTGATTGGCTTGGGAAGTCAATTTCTCCCAGTGATGTGCCAACAGCAATCAAGGCTCAACTACAACAGGACATTGCACACAGCCCACCGGGGGCGCACCTAGAGCGCAAAGCTTGGGTGACTGGGGAGGCTTCACCAATGGGCCCTATAGGACACCTACCAAACAAGGCCACTCTACCAAGTCCAGGAGACATGGCAGCTCTACCTAATACATAGAATCAAACACAGGGAAGCAGCCAAAATAAGGAGACAAAGAAATAGGTCCCAAATGAAAGAACAGGAGAAATCTCCAGAAAAAGAACTAAATAAAATGGAGGCAAGCAAACTACCAGATACAGAGTTCAAAACAATGGTTATAAGGATACTCAAGAAACTTAGTGAGAACTTCAACAGCATAAAAGATAATATGAAAACCATAAAAAAGAGCTGATCAGAAATTAAGGATACACTAACTGAAATGAAGAATAAATGACAGGGAATCAACAGTAGAGTAGATGAAGCAGAGAATCAAATCAATTACTTAGAATATAAGGGAGCAGAAAACAACCAAATAGAATAGCAAAAAGAAAAAAGAATCCAATGAAATTAGGATAGTGTAAGAAGCCTTTGGGACAACTTCAAACACACCAACATTTGCATCATGATGATGGAAAACTTTCCTAACCTGGCAAAGAAAACAGACATACAAGTCCAGGAAGCACAGAGTCCCATACAAGATGAACCCAAAGAGGCCCACACCAAGATACATCATAACAAAAATGCCAAAGGTTAAAGACAAAGAGAGAATCTTAAAAGCAGCAAGATAAAAGCAGTTAGTAACCTACAAGGGAGCTCCCATAGGATTGTCAACTAAGTTCTCAACAGAAACTTTGCAGGCCAGAAGTGATTGGCACAAAATATTCAAAGTGATGAAAAGCAATGACCTAAAATCAGGATTACTCTACCTAGCAAAGCTATCATTTATAATCAAAGGACAGATAAAGAGCTTCCCAGACAAGAAAAATTAAAGGAGTTCATCACCACCAATTCAGTATTATATGAAATATTCAAGGGTCTTCGTGAAAATGGAAATAAAACAAAAAAAGCTGGGGTAAAATACTTATACCAGAAGAAATAGACTTTAAAACAAAGCCAAAACAAGAGACAAAGACCCAGCAACTCCACCTCTGGGTATTTATCCAAAAAACCCCAAAACACTAAATCGAAGACATATACATTCATGTTGTTTTTTTATTACACTTTAAAAATATATATATATATATATATTTTAATATATTTTTTATTGATTTTAGAGAGGAAGGAAGAGGGAGAGAAAGAGAGAGAGAAACATCAATGACAAGAAAGAATGATTGATTGACTGCCTCCTGCACGCCCCACACTTGGGATCCAGCCCACAACTTGGGCATGTGCCCTGACCCTGAATTGAATCATGACCTCCTGGTTCATAGGTCAAAACTCAACCACTGAGCCATGCATGCCAGGCATTCATATGTTTATTGCAGCATTATTTACAATAGCCAAGATATGGAAGCAATCTAAGTGTCCATCAATAGATGAGTGGATAAAAAAGAAATGGTGCATGCTGGCTGGTGTGTTCAGTGGTTAGAGTACAAGCCTGTGCACCGAGGGGTCATGGGTTGGATTCCTGGTCAAGGGCACACACCTGAGTTTCAGACTTGACCCCAGCTCTGGTCGGGGTGCATGCAGGAGGCAACCAATCAATGTGTCTCTCTCACACCCTTCTCTCTCTCTCTCTCTCTCTCTCTCTCTCTCTCTCTCTCTCTTAGATAAATGTCTAATCAAGATACATGCCCTTGACCAAAATTGAACCTGGGACCCTTCAGTCCGCAGGCTGACGCTCTATCCACTGAGCCAAACTGGTTAGGGCAAGTCTTGTGACTTTTAAAGGTGAAACATTTAACACCCCCTCCCCCAAATAACACACTGAATACACAAATCACATTAAAAGAAATTAACTAAAATTGTGAAGGCACTAAGGAAATGATGGCCTATTTTCATCTCAGGAGGGGGAAAAAGGAAACTAAAAGTACATTTTAATAAATATTAGTGTCCCAGAGATGGAGAAAAGGGCAAGGGGACCAGTTAGAGGGATAATGTTGAAAGAGGCCATAATTTAATGACTAGCTTCTTGCCTTACTTGAGTAGGACCTGTATCCTCTTGCCTGTTATTAGTCATAACGTGTCCAATAGATTGTGAGGAAGTATGTCTCTTTTTTGCTCTTTCAGTTAACCTATTATTTAAAAACAAGTAAATAGTTATTAGAACTCCCCAGAAGTGCTTCTGTTTTGAGTAAGTTATACCATGGAAGTCTAGTTAGAACACTGAGTGCCAAAATGCAATTGTCAGTCTTTAAGTGCTCACTGCTCTAAGTAGAGAGGTGAAAACAGAGAGGAGAACAGCTCCGTTATGGCTAACATCAGTGGTAACAACCATATTGTAGGGTTATTCCAATTGGCCCACTTGGTCCCTTCTATCTGATCTGAACCTGGGTCTTTGAATTTCTGGGTTTCTGAATTTCTGAACTTGCTGTCCAAAGCTGGTTTACAACCATGGTTATTGCAGCAATCGTTTTTGGGTCATCTCAAGAACAACTGAGCTCTTGCTGTCTGTAACCTGCTGAACCTTTCGACTGGCACAGACATGTCCACATAGACAGGTCCACTTGCCCACCTCTGCAGAGCACTAAGTTTCCCAGCATATAGCCCAAATCAGTCTGGCAGGATCAGCTTGGGATATTGAACCTAGTCTCCTTCCTCATCTAGATATATTGTAGTTTCCCTAAATTTAGAACTGATGCCTTACTAGACAGACCCTGCCATCCATCACACTGCCCTTGATTAACAGACTGATGCACCGTTCTCTGAATCTGTATTAGTAGCTAAAACTAGCCCAATATGTTGGTTTACTCCCAAAATATTTGACCTTGAAAGACTATTTGACTATAAAAGGTTATTCTCAACCATCCTCTCTCCATTTAGAGAATTCTCTCTGATACAGAAATAAAGCTTACTTTGTTATACCAAGGCAGGTCAATACCAGGACTTAGGTCATAGCACCTTTTTTTCCTCTCCAAATGAGAAGAAATGTTTCTAAGGTTTTGTGTGTTTTTTTTTTGTGTGTGTTTAGTTTTTGTTTATTTGATTGTTTGTTGGAAAATTGAGGCTTTTCCAAAAAGCATTAGTGAAAAATTAAACTTCTGGATAGCCAAGAAAAGTTAATTTCTTCTACAGTATTTATAAGAAGGACTCAGTAATGGGCCATTGTATGATTATAATTTCAATGTGTCTTCAAATTCAGTTTACATACAGATACTATGAATCTGATTCTTTGAATACTATTATATAGGAACATTATATTACTTAGGTCCATTTCCTTCTGTCTCTTTTCTGTTAGAACTCACCTTGAATTGGAGTGGGAGAGATTTGAATTGAGATTGGAAGCCATCAGGTTACTGCTAGTTAGGTTGATGGGTGGCATCATCATATTACCTCCAGCATGTGGACTGTCTTTCATGCCAGTAGAGTTAGTGCTGGGATTGGCAGGGTTTGGTGGTTCATTGATTACAGATTTTACATTTTGAGACACAGTATGAGCATTTTCAATTGCATCTGACTGACCATGTCCACTTTCATACTCTGTCTTTTTTGGTTCTAAGGTATCTACTTTTCCTCCTTTGACTTTAATAACTCTGGTTTTTATTTCCTTGGGCTTTTTCTCTTTTTCCATTTCCTGGAATAGATACATCCAAAATCTGAGTCTGTAATTTTTATCGTTAGTGTGCTAACTATAATGTTACTGGCTAAAAAGAAAAACAGTTTTTACCTTTCCCAAAACTGAAGTTCGTAGAAGTGTATCAGTATGCATTGTTTTTCTTTCATCTTTCATAAGTTCATTTTCTTTAGAATTCTCCTTTGACTTTATGAATGAATTGACTTTTGCTTCTTGTAGTAATTTAGCTCTTAGTTCTGGTATGAATCTGATAAAACAAGCAATATTAACCAATAATCTTTTTATTTATGTAGATAATTTTATCTTTAATAGACCATTTAATCAATTAATTTACATTTTAACCACAGAATAAATAAGTAATCAAGAATGCATGCCCAGCCCTAGCCAGTTTGGCTCAGTGGATAGAGCGTCGGCCTGCGGACTGAAGGGTCCCAGGTTCGATTCCAGTTAAGGGCATATGCCTAGGTTGTGGGCTCAATCCCCAGTGGGGGGCATGCAGGAGGCAGCCAATCAGTGATTCTCTCTTATCATTAATGTTTCTATCTCTCTCTCCCTCTTCCTTCCTCTCTGAAATCAATAAAAATATATTTTTTTAAAAAGAGCAAGCATTCTTGTTAAAAAAAAAAATGCATGCCCAAAATGGCCCAATATTTATTTACCTAATACAAATTGCTTCCTGGTAAAGACCCATCTTTCAATTTTTCCATGGGAGTCCTATATAATAAAAGGGTAATATGCAAATTGACCCTAACAGCAGAATGACTGGGAATGACTGGTCACTATGACACACACTGACCACCAGGGGGGAGATGCTCAATGTAGGAGCTGCCCCCGATAGTCAGTGCACTCCCACAGGGGAAGCTCTGCTCAGCCACAAGCCAGGCTGACGGCTGCCAGCACAGTGGTGGTGGCAGGAGCCTCTCCCGCCTCCTCAGCAACGCTAAGGATGTCCGACTGCAGCTTAGGCCTGCTCCCCGCTGGCAAGTGGACATCCCCTGAGGGCTCCCGGGTTGCCAGAGAAATGCCTGACTGCCAGTTTAGGCCTGATCCTTCGGGGAGCGGGCCTAAGCCAGCAGGTGGACATCCCTCGAGGGGTTCCAGACTGCAAGAGGGCACAGGTCGGGCTGAGCCCTCCCCCCCCCAGTGCACAAATTTTGTGCACCGGGCCTCTAGTTTACTATATAAAACTTTTACAGCAAGAACCAAGATGGCAGCATAGGTAACTGCCTGTACTCACCACCTCCTACAATCACATCAAAATTACAACTAAAATACAGAACAAATATTATTCAGAATCACCTGAAAGCTGGCTGAATAGAAGTCCTACAACTAGAGAAGTAAAGAAGAAAGCACATTGAGACTAGTAAGAGGGGCAGAGGTGGGGAACAGGCTGGTCAGACACCCACATGTGCCATTTTTTGAATCATGAGGCTGTCCATGAGGAGCAAGGGATCCCAGCCCCACACCAGACCCCAGCTCAGGGTTCCAGGGCTGGGAAGAAAAGTGTCCGAAACTATGGGCCGTAAAAACCAGCAGGGATTGTGGCTGAGGGAATCGGAGGTTACTGGGATCCCAGGTGTTCCCCTTAAAGAGCCTGCACACAAACTTACCTGGTCCCTCTTCTTCTGAGCTCCAGCACCAGGGGGACCCAGACACATACGGGGAGGACCTGGATTATCTAGCATCGGGGCAGGAACTCAGGGGCAGCTTTCTCCCAGATGGGTTTGCTACAGGGGTCATCATTCCTGTGCTGGGACCTCCCCTGTTTCAGGGCTGACTGACAGCCATGTCTGAGTCTCCATTAGCCTGGAGCACACTGTTTGCTCCACCCTGGGGATTCCCTGAGACCTTGCCCCATCCATTTTGCAGCCCCAACCAAGCTGTTTACAGCAGCTTTTCCATATGAATGGCCTGTCCTGGCTCAGGCTTCAGACTTTGCTAAAATCTCTCAAAAAAGCTTCAGCTGATGACAGCTTGCCCCAAACCTATCAATAAAAGGCCTAAGACCCAGCACTAGCACCAGCCTGCCTCGCTTCACAGCTGGGCCTCATCTGGGCCTCCAAGCCCAATACAAATAGCAAATAGCAGCCATCTGAAGATCCCTTTGTAGCTCCTGACAGGTGGCCCCAGGCAGTGGCTGACTGCACCTTCCTGGAGGCCCTAGAGCCAGTGCAGCTTCAGGCCATAGCAGATTACAAATCTACACATCCACAAGCAACACACTCAAGAGGCAGACTCGGTGCGTACCAAAGCCCCACTGAAGCAAATCCTGCTCCATAGGGGTGTTTCCTACACAACAATTCTCCCACCTTAGTTACAGCTCATCCTCACAGCCAATTGACCTGGAGGTCAACTTCTCCCAGTGATGCCAACAGCAATCAAGACTCAACTACAAGACTGTGCACATAGCCCACATAGGGGCACACCTAGAGTGTCCAGCTCAGGTGACTGGGAGGTTAAGCCACTGGGCCCAACAGGACACCTACTACACAAGGCCACTCTACCAATTCTAGAAGACACAGAAGCTCTACTTAATACATAAAAATAAACAAAACAAGCAGCCAAAATGTGGAGACAAAGAAACATATCACATAGGGAGGAAAAGAAATGGAAGCAAGCAAATTACTGAAGACTGGGGTGTGTGTGGGAGGCAGCCAATGGATGATTCTCTTATCATTGATGTTTCTATCTCTCCCTCTCCCTTCCTCTCTGAAATCAACAAAAATGTATTTTTTAAAATGCCAAGGGTTAAAGACAAAGAGAGAATCTTAAAAGCAGTTAGTTACTTACAAGGGAGTGTCCATGAGATTGTCAGCTGATTTCTGAACAGAAATTTTGCAGGCCAGAAGGGAATGGCAATAAATAGTCAAAGTGATGAATAGTAAGGAGCTACAACCAAGATTACTCTACCCAGCAAAGCTCTCATTTAGAATCGAGTGTCAGATAAAGAGCTTTACAAACAAGAAAAAACTGAAGGAGTTCATCACCACCAAACCTGAAATGTTGAAGGGGATTCTTTAAGAGGAAGAGAAAGAAGAAGGAGGAGGAGGAGGAAGTGGATGAGAAGGGGGAGGAGGGGGAGGAGGAGGAGAAGGGAAGATGAAGAAGGCTCAAAAATATGAACAATAAAATGGCAACAAATACATATCTATAACAATTTAAATCTAAAAAATCAAAATAAATGAACAAGAAATCTAATGAAAAAAATAAACTGGTGCATAAAATAGAATCAGAGGCATGGAAGCATGGAAGAGACTGATGAACCTCAGAGGGAAGGGGGAGGGGGAGCAAGAAGAGATTAACCAAAGAACTTACCTATGGACACAGACAGTAGGGCTGGGGTGGGGTGGGAACAGGGTAGAGGGGAGCAATTGGGGGGGAAGAGGGGGACATCTGTAATACTCTCAACAATAAAAATTTTAAAAAACCTTTACAAAATAGACTTAGAGAAATTAGATTTCTTTTGTGATGCAAACTTTACAAATATTGCTTTTAATTTTGATAAGTATACTATTCTTTTTAAGGAAGACTCATATCCCTTTGTCCTTTTTGTGGTTCTTTAAAGTAATAGTATTTAAAAGATAAATTGATAAGTTTCTGAAATCTTACTCTAGAAAAATATTTTCATATCCTAGCCAGTCTGGCTCAGTGGCCTGCAGACTGAAGGGTCCCAAGTTTGATTCCAGTCAAGGGCACATGCCTGGGTTGTGGGCTCAATCCCCAGTTGGGGGCATGCAGGAGGCAGCTGATCAATGATTTTTTTCTCATTACTGATGTTTCTATCTCTCTCTCCCTCTCCATTCCTCTCTGAAGTCAATATATATATAAATATTTTCATTACAAAATGTAACAGAATATCAACATTGAAGGTAGATGGTTTTAGTTTGGCCTTCTTATTTTTATTTTATATTTTTGTCTTCCTGACACTGGAACCCTGGGTTGGGGGGCTGGGACCCCTCACTACTCAGTGGGGACTTCCACAGCTGAGATATCCCTCCTGATTTTTATTTGCCACATGTGGATGTGGGACCAGCCCGTTCCGCGTCTCCGTCCCTTCTACCAGTCTCAATGTGGCTTCTTCTTTAAATCCCTATTTGTAGAACTTAAATTCAGCTATATTTCAGGCAGTTCTGAACGATGTTTGCTCTCTAATTTAGTTGTATTTTTGACCTGGTTGTGGAAGGATTTGGGTACCACATTTACCTACACTGCCATTTTGACAGGAAGTCCTATTGGTTGCTTCTTGTATATGCCCTGACTGGGAATTGAACCCACAACGTTGGCATATCGGGACAGTGCTCTAACCAACTGAGCTACCCAGTCAGGGCTATTAATCTTAATTTTAATGTATATATCAGAGATGGAAAAAAGATATATCAGAACAGGAAAAAACAGACTATTCTGAGTCAGAGCTCCAAATGGGGAAAAAATTAGAAATTACTGATTACTTATTTAATGTTATTTCTGGCCAATGATGACCATTGCAAATGTTTGTAAAGAACTTAGCACACATCCTAGGATATAGTAACTGTGTAATGAATGTTAATTTAAATTATTATCTTTGAATTTTTTTCAAAATATGGAACGCTTCACGAATTTGCGTGTCATCCTTGCGCAGGGGCCATGCTAACCTTCTCTGTATCATTCCAATTTTAGTATGTGTGCTGCTGAAGCGAGCACTGCAATTATTTTGATTATTATGACACCTGTAAGTCTACTATATAACTAATCAACATAGGAACTCAGTAAGTTTTCATTAAATTGAATTTTTCTGTTGTGTAACATTAACCTATGTAGCAATTTTCATGCTAGTAAAATTTCTTAATACAAAACACTTAGAAGTCTACATTCACTCAAAACGCTTACTTTTCAATAAATCCATCTCTAGTAAAATACTCATGATGCAAAAGATCATCAGATGATATTCTCTCAGCAGGATCAATTTGTAAACAAGCCTAGAAAATAAAAACAAGATTCTATGGTATAAATAAGCTCTTAATAGGGCTCTATGAAACAAAAGTTCAATTTATTTGACAAGAATAAAAGTAATTAATTACCCAGGGCTAATAGCATTCTTGAAAAGATGGAATTAGACCTCAGGAATATCTGACAATGAGTTCTGACCATTTATTTTCCTAAGAAATTTGTACTTGTAAAGCATTATTACAGGTTAAATGCCCTATGATTCTAGTCAAAACAGAAGCCAGTTTATTTTGGCTGGCATTTGCAGAAATTTAATTAGGTCCTATTGACTCTCTTATCAGCTTGGAAAGTACTATACATTTTAAAATTTGGTAAGAGAATAGATTTCATGTTATGTGTGTTTTACTACAATAAAATAAATTGACTCAAAAGTGAAATTGAGTGCATTATTTACTTTATAATGTGGGAATACCTAGGTCCTTAAAACTGCAACTAGCTAAACATATGTGTTTATTTTTAAAACATAATAGTAATTCATCAATAAAACTTACTAAGAAAAATGCTGAAAGGTTTGTGCAAGTCATAGCCTATTAGAGGCAGACAAATTAGTCCTTCTATGAATAATATAATTCAGAAAATTTAAAAACATGCCCTAGTTTGGAAAAGTAACATATGATACTTTGGGAAACAAACAGGCAGTTCCTTTAAAAACTACTGGCGTGGCTCAGTAGTTGAGCATCAACCTATGAACCAGGAGGTCACAGTTCAATTCCCGGTCAGAGCACACGCCCAGGTTGTGGGCTCTATCCCCAGTGTAGGGTGTGCAGGAGGGAGCCAATCAATGATTCTCTCTCATCATTGATGTTTCTCTCTCTCTCCCCCTCTCCCTTCCTCTCTGAAATCAATAAATACTTTAAAAAATTTAAACATACAGCCCTGGCCTGTGTTTCTCAGTGGTTAGAGTGCCAGCCCATGCACGGAGGGTTGTGGGTTCAATTCCTAGTCAAGGGCACGTACCCACATACCCACGTACCCACGTACCTGGATTGCAGGCTTGATCCCTGGCCCTGATTGAGGCATCTGCGGAAGGCAACCAATTGACCTTCCCTCCTTCTTTCCTTCCTTCCTTCCTTCCTTCCTTCCTTCCTTCCTTCCTTCCTTCCTTCCTTCCTCCCTCCCTCCCTTCCTTCCTTCCTTCCTTTCTGCCCCCCATATCCCCACCCCCACCCTGCTCCCTCCTTCCTTTTCACTCATCCTCATGTGAGGATTAACAACAACAAAAAAAGAGACATTGCCCTAGCTCAGTGGTCGGCAAACTGCGGCTCGCGAGCCACATGTGGCTCTTTGGCCCCTTGAGTGTGGGTCTTCCTCAAAATACCACGTGCGGGCGTGCACGTACAGTGCGATTGAAACTTCGTGGCCCTGATCGATGTCTCTCTCATCGATGTTTCTAACTCTCTATCTCTCTCCCTTCCTCTCTGTAAAAAATCAATAAAATATATTTAAAAAAAAAAAAGAAACTTCGTGGCCCATGTGCAGAAGTCGGTTTTCGGCCTGGGCGAGTCTATTTTGAAGAAGTACTGTTGATATTTGGCTCTGTTGACTAATGAGTTTGCCAACCACTGCAGCTGGTTTGGCTTAGTGGATAGAGCATCAGCCTGCGGACTGAAGGGTCCAGGGTTCAATTCCAGTCAAGGGCACATGCCTGGGTTGTGGGCTTGGTCCCCAGTGGGGGGGGCCTGCAGGAGGCAGCCAATCAACAATTCCCTCTCATCGTTGATGTTTCTATCTCTCTCTTCATCTCCCTTCCTCTCTGAAATCAATAAAAATATATTAAAAAATATATTTTAAAAAAAGAGACATTATTTCTAGTCTATTAAGTCAGCAAATATTTTTTTTAAATTATAACATCTAATGCTAGATTAAGAGTGGGAATTTATATCCAATGCTACATGAGAGAACTTGAGTATAAATCAGTAAAATCTTTCTGGAGAAAAAAATAGCAAAATACATAAAAAATTTTAAAAAGTATAAACCCTTCGCCCACTACTCACATTTTAGAAATTTATGCTAAACAAAAATAAAGCAAATTCAGAAAGACAGATATAAAAGATGTTCATTGTAGCATCTTTACCAATAGTGAAGGGGAAAAAACGTGAAAACAAATGTCCAAAATTGCAAGATCAACTAAATAAACTATGGTATTGTCATACAATGAAACACTATGCAACTACAGAAAATTGTGATGTAGTTCCAATTTGCTAACATGGTAATATGTTTATCACATTATAATGCTAAATGAAGATTAACAGGTTACATAATAGTGTGTAAAGTATGATACCTTTTAAAAAGCTTAAATTTCTCTTTTTTACATAAACCAGTAACTTAGTCATTTATTATCAAGTATTATATACTGAACATAATTATATATGCTATACTTTTATTCAACTGGCATCTCAGTAAGTTTGCTTACACCAGTATCACCACAACCACATGAGTAATGAGTTGTGCTATGATCTGGCCTTATAATGACTACAACATCACTAGACAACAGGAATTTTTCAGCTCCATTACAATCCTAACGGATCACCATATGTGCGGTCTGTGGTTGACCAAAATGTTATGTGGCACATTACTGTATATATTGCCCAATGTACTGCAATTCCCATGGCTAGAAACTGTTAGAGCTGAGGTTTACAGATACTGGGTTTGTAGCCAGAGGCAGCACTTAAAAAGCATAAATTTCTAAGCATATATTTGTTGGGCAATCTGCAAGTATCTAAACCAAAATGTTAATTGTAATATTTTCCTGGATTATGGGAGTTAGAAAAATCTTACCTTCTCTTTTTTATCATGTATTTTCTACTTTTTCTAAAATCATTATATATTGTGTGTATAATTAAAACTATGAAATAAAAAAAGAAATTAAACTGAAAATGTAGTCAAATCTGATCTTGAATAAATTCTAGTTCTCTCCAGGTACCAATAAAATATATTTTTTCCTTCAAGAATAGTCTTTAGATATTACATAAGTTTAAGTTTATCTAAATAACAGCAACATCAACAACATTTGTTGACAGCTTATTCAAGGCCCTGTGCTCAGAACATTGCCACCATTACCTCATTTAATCCTCTAGCCCCAGAAAATAAGTAGTTAATGTTTTACAACCCAGTAAACTGAGGCACAGAGATTAAGTGACTGGTCCAAGGTTACAGAGCTAATTAGTGATAGAACTGGGTTTTAAATGTAGTTTATGTGATTCCAGAGTCCCTTTTTATAAACACTGCACTGTACTTGCTTTGAAATCTAGATAACCACTTTTTTAAAGGGCTATACATTAGGAATAAGATACCTTAGTTGATGCTGGGAAAGAAAATTGGCTGGATAAAAAAAAATTAGTAGGAACAGTTACTTTTTACATTAAACTCTCTTACCTTTTGAACTTTGCAGTGAGTGTATAGGTATATTTATTACCTAGTTTAAAACAAAATTTAAATTTTAAAATAATTTAAAAGTGCTATAAAAATTTTTCCCTCCAATTCAAGTTGTATTTTGGCATTGGTGTGTCTCCAAACAATATTCCAACTGCAGCAGCCAAAGCCATGTAGATACCTTAGGATACCACTGTTCATAGAATAGATCCCTAACTTGGGTATTAAAAGATGGTTATAAACAGGGTAAGTCCTTAGAATATTTCTAGTCTATCCCTAATTATCATTAAAATTGGGATGAACTAAAAATAATAAACAGGATTATCCTAGAGGGCTTTCAGTTCTAATAGTCTAGGAATTTTACTTTCTCTGAGCTAAACACAAAGACAGGAATATAGTAACTTTAACAGATACCATTACTTTTACGAATCCTTTTAGAATTTCATTGAAGTAATATCCTAAAACTGTATTATAATGTATGCAAATTTCCCAGAAACAAGTCCTTAATCTCATAACATACATGAACTATATCTGCTAACAATCCATTTAGCTTTGGGTATTTTTTTCTTGCATTCTTGGGGTGTTGAACTTGAGGAAGGACCACCCCTGCAAAAATAGGACTCTTGGAAAAGAAATTCTGCAAGTGAGGTGTCAAATTGCCTAAAAAGAGAAAAATATATAAGAAAACACAGAAATTAGTCTAAATCAAAATAATCAAATTGCTATATGGTCTTTATTATGTTACTAAAAAGAGATAATAACAATTCCGTTATTTTAATTAATTAATTATTTAATTATTTTACTTTTTATTTTGTTTTGTTTGTTAATCCTCACCAGAGGATATTTTTAGAGAGAGTAAGGAAGGGAAAGGGAGAGTGGCGGGGGGGGGAGAGGGAGGGAGAGAGACAGACAGACAGACAGACAGGCATCGATGTGAGAGAGACACATTGATTGGTTGCTCCTACACACGCTTCGACTGGGGATTGAACCTGCAACCCAGGCATGTTCCCTTGACTGCACATTGAACCCGAGACCCTTTGGTGTGCACGCTGACACTCCAACTACTGAGCTACAGTGGTTTTTAAGTTGAACAAGGAACTATCTGAATATAGCATAAAAATTAAAGTTTCCCCAGTAATCTGTTGATAGCACATAGACCAGGGGTCCTCAAACTTTTTAAACAGGGGGCCAGTTCACTGTCCCTCAGACCGTTGGAGGGCCAGACTATAGTTTAAAAAAAAACTATGAACAAATTCCTATGCACACTGCACATATCTTATTTTGAAGTAAAAAAACAAAACGGGAACAAATACAATATTTGTATTTGCATGTGGCCCGCGGGCCATATTTTGAGGACCCCTGACATAGACAGTACAGAATGTCAAACAGCCAGGTTAATTTTCTTTTCACAAAATAAAATATATAATATATAATGCCATCAGGAAAAGCAAATCTAAACTTTTACATATTTCCATATGAGTATCTAAATGGCTTAACTAGCAACTGTTAATCAAAAAAGCCTTACTCAGAAAAGCTAGCATATTAAGATTATTTAGATATTGCAAAGAAAAAACAAGGCTATAGAGTCGTAGTAGAACTATAAACAGGAGTGGAGAGCTAAATTCTAGTTAGTACCAGTTTTGCTATACAACTAGTTCTGTGCCTTTGGGCAAATCTCCTCCCTCTCTGTGCCTTGGTTTCCTCTTCTGTAAAAGACAAAATGGATCCCATCATCTCTAAGGTTCTTCTAACATTAATCTCATTAATCTCGGAACATTAAAGACGACACAAAAAAGGGTGATGCTTGAAGGCTCTGAACTATATCTTTAATCAATATTTATCCAGATTTCATGGTTTTTATAGTTGTTCACAGTACCCTTCTCATGATCCTGTAATTACATGTTTATGTATAGCTTTCCCACCACAAAAAGGGCTCCTCCAGCTCCTCATTCATAAATATATATACATAAAAACTTATTGAAACTTCATGAGCAAGGATATCCATCAAAATGACTGGTTAGTCAAACAGATAATCAAATAATTCAGCTTTCATCAAATATTTTTTTGAATAAGTTATTTAGCTATTTGGTTATCTACTATAGTTAAAAAAATGTTTTCTCAGCAAATAATTGACTTTCTATCTCCAAGTGCTTTTTAAAACCATCTAAATTAAATCTATTATTTAAAAGTCTTTGAGATATGCAAATATTTATTTCTTTATTTTAAATTTCAGAGAGAAATAGAAACATCAATGATCAGCTACCTCTTGGACGCCCCACACTGGGGATTGAACCCACAACCTGGGCATGTGCCCTCACCAAGAATCGTAACCTCCGGTTCATTGGATCAACGCTCAATCACTAAACTACATGGGCGTGGCAAGATATGCAAATCTTTATAGAAGCAAATATTTTAAGCAATTTTCAAAGAAATTGAAGACGATTCCTATTGTACTATTTTTCTTATTATCAACCATCAACATATGGCTTACCTATTTGCATCCTGGCAAAAAGTATTATTTGTAATAACAGAGGAGAATTTTCTACTTTTTTTTTTTTACCAGCTCAAGGCATGCATCTGCTACATCTATCAAAAGAATATGCCCCCCTGTTCTTATAATGAGAAAACTAAATTTGAAAATCAAGCCCTAACTGGTTTGGCTCAGTGGATAGAGCGTCGACCTGCAGACTGAAGGGTCCCAGGTTCGATTCCAGTCAAGGGCATGTACCTTGGTTGCGGGCACATCCCCAGTAGGGAGTGTGCAGGAGGCAGCTGATCGATGTTTCTCTCTCATCGATGCTTCTAACTCTCTATCCCTCTCCCTTCCTCTCTGTAAAAAATTCAATAAAATATATTTTTTTAAAAAAGAAAATCAAGCAAATTTGATCTGGACATACTTATTTTAGGCATTTAACAGTACATTTCAATAATACCTACCTACCTACTTTTAAAACAATTTTATGAAGTAAATCCAAATCAGAGCTGCTAGGAAGAAAGGGATTTCCAGTGGCCATCTCAATGATCATACAGCCCAAAGCCCAGATATCCACAGGTCTGAAATAGATAAGAATCAATCACTTTTTCATAGAAAAATATATAAGATATCTTTTCTTAAAAAAAACTTATAAAATAAAGTTAGGGACAAAGAAAAAAGAGTCGATAAGTGGTATCATTTTTAAAATTCACTGTAATAGCACATGGCAACTTTAGGTTATATATTAAATATTATCACATTTTACTAATATCACTAAATAGATTATATTTAAACTGCATGAGAAGTTATGTAGCAGTCCAGATAAAAAGTAACTAATTCTAAAATTGTTTCAGATACTTATACAAGAACATTATGAATTCGTGCATGGGTGGGGTCTGGCCGGCCCACCCCAATGGGGGCCCATTGGGCTGGGCTGGCGAGGGGGAGGGGCCACAGGTGGTTGGCTGGCCAGACCTGCCCCCGATTGGAGTGTTGGGGGCCGATTGGGGGCGCCGGCAGGGTTGGCTGCCAGAGTGCACCATAGCCACCAGTCATTCTGGTTGTTCTGTTCGTGCTGCCATTCCGGTCGCTGGGCTTCTTTATACTAGTATATAGATGGTTTATGAATTAGAATTGGATAAGAAAATCATCTTGTATTTAAAAAGTAAAAACTAAAAATCTCAACGTCACATTCAGAAAGAGATATAAATAAACACTACAATGATCTCTATTTTTTTACTGATACAACTGATTAAAAATTGTAAGATTTGATAACTGTTGGTGAGGCTATGGAAAATAAACACTCCCATGTACTATTCTGGGAGTATAAACTTACACAATTTCTTGGAGGGGAAATTGGAAAAAGCTACCAAAATAAAAATGTACATACATTTGACCAAATAACTTTATTCCTAGAAATTTATTTTTAAAAAAATTTACTCACAAGCCAGATAGCAAGGCAAATATCTTTATTTCTGCAGCTGTCTGGCTCCCGAGTAACCTTTGTGTTCTGCCAGGACCCCTGTTTTGGGTCTTGCCTTATTTCTAACAGGGTTAACAAATGTAAGGACGTGTTTTTAAAAGCTGCAATAACTTACCCACATTTTATATCCTACCACTGATGAGTCCAAAAAAACACACACAACAAAACTTCAAATAGAACATATGAGGGGTGGATAAGGCACCAGATACTGTCTATTTTACTTCCCTCCACTGCCAGATGCAAGACTCAATAGCGTAAGAAGGAGATGAAACTTAACTCAGTTCCTCAGGAAATCCACTTCCTAGTACTGCATGGCAAGCTATAAAAGAAAAAGAACAAAGCTAGGGAATAGACAAGTTGAGATTATTTAAAATGACGAGTTTAAAAATGTGATTGAGTTCAATCTCTTTACAGGGCAAACAACTGTTTTCCCTGGTGGAGTACTTTCTATGGAATCATCTCTCAGTCCTCTGGCCTGCATTTCTGCCATGACTCTGTTGGCCCAAAATGTAAGTCCCATCTGCAGTTGACTGCATAGAACTTACTTTTTTGTTCTTTATATATAAAGAAGATTTGTTTTTCTCATGCATTGAAAAAAATAGAAGTTTTCAATGAAAATTTTACTAAATGGATTTGCAAATTCTGCTTTAGCAATCTACCTTTAAATACACATTCTGTGGGTTAGCTATTAGGAATAAAGTGATGGCTAAAAAAAATTTACTCACACATGAAAACAAAGATAAATTATAAAAATTTCACAGCAACACTGTTTGTGGTAGAAAATATTGGAAACAATCTAAATGTCCATCCATACAGAAATGGATATATAAAATTTTGTACAACCACACAATGAAATATTATTCAGCTGTTAAAAAGGATGATATAGGTCTATCTATGTGTGCTCATATAAAGTGGTCTCTAAGATAAACACTCAAGTGAAAAAAAAGTTCATTAAAGAAATCAAAGAAGTTATAAATAAATGGAGAGATATTTCACGTTTATATACACTGAGTGGCCAGATAATTATGACCACCTGATGTTTGTAGGCAAATTAGCCGTGCACTGCATCGTATGGGATATGGAAGCCGAAGGCCTGTTTGAACGCCTTTGCTGTCTGCAGTTACCAAGATAAAATGTCTCCAATTTGCACAGGAACACAAGGATTGGACAGTCAAGCATTGGAAAAAAGTCATGTGGTCCGAAGAATCACGTTTCCAGTTGCATCATGCAGATGGCAGAGTGAGAATTTGGCAGAAACAGCATGAAAGCATGCACCCCACATGCATGAGTACAACCCTTCAAGCTGGTGGGGGCAGTGTTATGGTTTGGGACATGTTTTCCTGGCATGATTTGGGCCCTTTAATTCATGTAGAACAACGTCTGAATAGCACAACATACCTAAGTATCGTTGCTGATCAAGTCCATCCTATCATGTTGATGGCGTATCCCAATGGAGATGGCTTCTTCCAACAAGACAATGTGCCATGCCACGGTGCTTGTATTGTGCAGGAATGGTTTCAAGAACATGAGGGAGACTTTACCTTGCTTAGGTGGCCCCCACAATCACCAGATCTCAATCCAATTGAGCATTTGTGGGATGAAGTTAAAAGAGCCATCAGATAGCTGGTTCCACAACCATCAAATCTCACAGAACTGGACAGTGCTATTCATCAGGCATGGTGTCAGATTCCTTCCATCACCTTTCAACATCTCGTGGAGTCAATGCCAAGAAGAATCGCCGCAGTATTGAAGGCAAAAGGCAGCCCAACGAAGTACTGATGGGGTGGTCATAATAATCTGGCCACTCAGTATATATGTCCCACGTTCAAAGGCTGTTAAATTGCATTGTTTACCCATATCTTCAGAACAAAATCACTTCTACTGTCGTGGTAAACAACCTGCTTCCCTATTTATAATGGTCTGGCCCTCTAGCAACTTCAGCGCGAAATTATAGCTAATTTGCCTACAAATGTCAAGTGGTCATAATAATCTGGCCACCCAGTGTATATGCGATTTGATAAGTATGCTATTTTGTTGTATCGACTACAAGCTTCAAAACTTTATATGTCAAATTTTCTGAAGGTGTTAACATCATAGATATTTTTTTATGCTTAAAAATGTAGAATTTCATGCCAAAAAAGAGCATTTGTAGGAAGTTTTAATTCATTATTTTGAAGGAAACTGCTGCATAAGGCTTCGGGAAGCTTATGTGAACATGCTCCATCTCAAGATACTTGTGAACGCTGGTTTAAACGCTTTAAAAGTGATGATTTCGATGTGAAAGACAAAGAACGTCCAGGTCAACCGAAAATGTTTGAAGACAAACAATTACAAGCATTATTGGATGAAGATGCGTGTCAAACTCAAAAACAACTTGCAGAAAGATTAAACGTTGCTCTGCAAACAATTTCCGATGGTTTACAAGCAATGGGAACGATTTTAAAGGAAGGAAAATGGGTGCCACATCAACTGAATGAAAGACAAATGGAAAACCAAAATGTCATTAGTAAAATGTTGTTTCAACGGCACGAAAGAAAGTCTTCTTTGCATTGAATTGTGACTGGTGATGAAAAGTGGATTTATTTTGAGAATCCCAAATGCACAAAATCATGGGTTGATCCAGGTCAACCATCAACATCGACTATAAGGCCAAATCACTTCAGAAAGAAGACAATGCTCTGTGTTTGGTGGGATCAGGAGGGTGTGGTGTATTATGAGCTTCTAAAACCAGGTGAAATCATTAATACTGATGGCTATCGACAACAAATAATCAATTTGAACCACGCTTTGATCGTGAAATGACCAGAATGGGCCAGAAGACACGGCAAAGTAATTTTGCTTCATGATAACGCACCACCACACACTTCAAAACACGTTAAAAGATCATATGAGCCACCTTCTGAGCATCCTTCCCCGGAGATGGGAGAATCCGTGTGCTTCCAGCTTAAGTCTGGGCTCATCTCTGCAGGGTTTGCTGCTGTTTAGCCCCAAATGCTCTGACAGTCACAAGGTGTGTTTTTATTTCTCCCTCTCCCTTCCTCTCTGAAATCAATAAAATATTTTTTAAAAAGTAATAGTAAAACTACAGTGAAAATTAATAGAGAATTTTTTAAACAGGGAAAATAAATGAAACCAAAGTCTATTTTTTGTAAAGATCAACGAAATTGACATTTAGAATGACTAGTAAAAAAAGAGAGAATACACAGATTATCAGAATCAGAAAAGAAAGTGGTAACACTACTATCAACCTTACAAAAATAAAAAAGATTATAAAGGAATACAACGAACAACTGTCCACCAACAAATCAGATAGTTAGATTAAATGGACAGTTCCTGGAAAACACAAACTACTAAAACTGGCTTAAAAGAAATAGACATATAAATAAATCTGTAAGAAATGAAAAAACTGAATTAGTAATCAAAACACTACACATAAAAGCAAGCCCAGGCTCAAATGCCTTCACTGCTGAATTCTACCAATATTTAAAGAAGAATTAATTCCAATTCTTCACAAACTATTTCAAAAACAGAAGAGGATGGAACACTTCTCAACTCAATATTAGAGACCACTGTTATCCTGATACCAAAACTAGACAAAAATATCACTAGCAGCCAAAACCGGTTTGGCTCAGTGGATAGAGCGTCGGCCTGCGGACTGAAAGGTCCCAGGTTCGATTCCGGTCAAGGGCATGTACCTGGGTTGCGGGCACATTTCCAGTAGGAGATGTGCAGGAGGCAGCTGATCGATGTTTCTCTCTCATCGATGTTTCTGACTCTCTATCTCTCTCCCTTCCTCTCTGTAAAAAAATCAATAAAATATATTTAAAAAAAAAATATCACTAGCAAACTACAGACTTGTACTGCTTATGACTATCAACACAAAAATTCTCAACAAAAGACTAGCAAACTGAATACAACAACATATAAAAACAATTACAGTAGGTCCTCGGGTTACATTGGAGATCTGTTCCTACGGTGTGATGTAAGGTGATTTTCGCCGTAAGTCAGAACCCACCTACATAAGCACCTACGTCACTCACATGGAGCACATACACAGCAGTAATGAAGTGAAACAGTAAAAAAAATTTAAAAGAAAGATAACAATTCTTGACCTTTACTTGTGGTAAATAAATAATAAAAAACATAAAGCACATATGTACATACGTTGAAATGACAGAACTTTTTCTTTTTAATAAATAAATGGGAGATGGCAATGTAACCATGAAACAATGTACGTCGAGTCCAACGTAACCCAAGGACTGCCTGTATATGCCATAATCCAGTGGGATTTATCCCAGAAACAAATGTTGGTTCAACATGCAAAAAACAAAATACACACGATCATCTCAATAGTACAGAACAAGCATTTGACCGACACCTTTTCATGATAAAAATTCTCAACAAACTAAGAAGGGCATCTCTGAAAAACCCAGAGTAAACATCATACTTAATGGTAAAAGATTGGATGTTTTTCCCCTAAGATTAGGAACAAGACAAGTCTATCTGCTCTCACTTCTATTAACATTGTACTGGCGGTTCTGGCCAGGGAAATTTTTTAAAAAATATATTTTATTGATTGTTTACAGAGAGGAAGTGAGAGGGATAGTTAGAAACATCAATGAGAGAGAAACATCGATCAGCTGCCTCCTGCACGCCCCCTACTGGGGATGTGCCCGCAACCAAGGTACATGCCCTTGACCGGAATTGAACCTGGGACCCTTGAGTCCACAGGCCGATGCTCTATCCACTGAGCTAAACGGGTCAGGGCTGGCCAGGGAAATTAACCTGAAAAAGAAATAGAAGGCATCCAGACAGAAAAAGATGTAAAATTATCTCTATTCACAGATGACATGGTCTTATATAGAAAGTCCTAAGAAATCCACAAAACAATTATTAGAACCATATGACCCACAATTCCAACTCCTAGGTATACACCCAAAAGAAATGAAGATACATGTCCATACTAATGGCCACAGCAATGTTATTCATAATAGCCAGAAAGCAGTAACTATAAAAACGGTCATCATCTAATGAAGGAGCAAATAAAATGTGTTATATCCATAAGATGCATATTATCCTATCTAATAAAGACGGAATATGCAAATTGACCATCACTTGGCAACAAAGATGGCGGTGCCCACAGCCAATAAGGAGGGGATATGCAAATTGACGCAATGAAGATGGCAGCGGCTGGGCTGGGACGCTTGCGTTGTTGCCATGGCGACGACACAGGCGTTGCGTTCTGCTCCGCCCCGGCCGCTCCAGGCCTCTGGGCAGTGCACGAAGGCAGAAAGGTGGCTCTGGCCAGAGCGAAGGCGGTGCTGGCAGCCAGGGGAAGGAAGGCTACTCTTGCATGAATCTTCGTGCATCGGGCCTCTAGTTCAGCCATAAAAAGAAATTAAGTCTGATACATGCTATGACACGCATGAACCTTGAAAACATTATGCTAAGTGAAAAAAAGTCTTAAAGGACCAGATATTGCATAATTCCATTCATATTAAACGTCTAGACCAAGCAAGTTCATAGAGAATGAAAGTAGATTGGTGGTTGCCAGGGCCTGGAAGGGTTGGGAGGAAATGGGGAGTGACTGCTAATGGGTACAAGGTTTCTTTTTGAGGTGATGAAAATGTTCTAAAATTGATTGTGGTGATAGTTGCACAAGTTGTAAATATACTAAAATCACTGAATTGTACACTTTAAATGGGTAAATTTTATGGTATGCAAATCATATCTCAAAAAAACTGACATAAAAAAAGGCTAGATTCCCCTGGCTGGGTAGCTCAGTTGGTTAGAGCCGTGGTTGGCAAACTGCGGCTCGCAAGCCACATGCGGCTCTTTGGCCCCTTGAGTGTGGCTCTTCCACAAAATACCACAAAATACCTTATGCAGGCGCACACGTACAGTGCAATTGAAACTTCATGGCCCATGTGCAGAAGTCGGTATTTTGTGGAAGAACCACACTCAAGGGGCCAAAGAGCCGCATGTGGCTCGAGAGCTGCAGTTTGCTGAGCCGCAGTTTGCTGACCACTTTAGAGCATCATCCTGATAGGCCAATGTTGCAGGTTCAACCCCCAATGAAGGCACATACAAGAAGCAACCAATGACTGCATAAATAAGTAGAACAACAAATCGATGTTTCTCTTACTCTCTCTCTCTTTAAAAAAAAAAAAAAAGATGCCCTGGACGGGTGGCTAAGTTGATTGGAGCATTGTCCTGGACCGGTGGCTAAGTTGATTGGAGCATTGTCCTATACACCAAAAGGTTTCGGGTTCAATTCCCAGTCAGGGCACATATGTAGGTTGCAGGTTCCATCCCTGTTCATAGCACTTATGGGAGGCAAACAATCAATGTTTCTGTCTCACATGGATGTTTATCTCCCTCTCTCTCTCTCCCTTCTTCTCTCTCTAAATTATTAAAACATATCCTCCGTTGAGGATTTAAAAAAGACTAGATTAGCCCTAACTGGTTTGGCTCAGTAGATAGAGCGTCAGCCTGTGGACTGAAAGGTCCCAGGTTTGATTCTGGCCAAGGGCATGTACCTTGGTTGCGGGCACATCCCCAATAGGAGGTGTGCAAGAGGCAGCTGATCGATGTTTCTCTCTCATCTATGTTTCTAACTCTCTATCCCTCTCTCTTCCTCTCTGTAAAAAATCAATAAAATATATTTTTTAAAAATAAATAAATAAATAAGAAAATAAGAAAAAAGTATAAAGTACAAAGAAATGTAAAGTAACTTATTATAATAAAAGTCAATATCATGGTTACTTTTAGGGGAAGGGAAAGTGTTATAATTGCAATAGGGCCCATGGAGGGTCTTCTGAGGTGGTCAACAAAATTTTATTTTATTTTCTGGTATCTGTGTTTTGTTTTACAATAAAAAGATTTTTAAAAACACTCATGAACAAATTTATTATAAATGCAATGTGAATGAAGCCTCATAGAATCCAAACTTGCCATGTACAAGGGAGCAATGCTGGCTCTGTGAAGTACAGAGATTATACTTATCTGCAAGAAACTTACCTTTCAGCAAGAAATATTTTAAAGAACAATAGCTAGAGTAGAACTAGGTCATATTAAATATTAACTGGCACAAAACTTACAGACAATGTACATGAAGGTTTAGAAAGGGATATGATTTGGGGGCAAGGAATAAGGACTGGGGGATGTATCAGAAAAGGAATTTAAGCTACATCATGAAGAGAGGATAAAACTGGGACTAGATTTGATGGAAGCTACATTCACTGAGAATTTACTATATTTTAATTTTTTTATTCATTAAATCATTTAAACCTATTCTAGAAAATAGGACACATGTCAGTTCCTATAGTAACACTGGCAGAGTGAGGTAAATTATTTTAAAACCTTTGTATAATGTAGAGGCTAAACATAAGCAGATAAGACAGCTCCGCCAAGGATACAGTCTGAGGGATGTCTGCATAGGTCTCCTGGGGTTTGGGCCACTTAGCCCCAGGGAGCAAGTATGGTAACATCAATAGCCAGCATGCAGGTGCCTATCGGACCTCTCTGTTCTATGTAGAGGTATCTCTTTCTTAAACCCAACTCAGGTGCAAAAGGCTGAGGGTGTCAGTAGGAGGGGTGACAAAGTCACCACAGGTAAAAAAAAAAAAAGAGATGAATGGGAAAGGCCAGGCAAGATCCTAAAATGTACATACTTTCCGTAAGAGGTATCTTTTAATACTAATTCTGGAGCTCTATACCAGCGTGTGGCCACATAGTCTGTATAAATATCCCCAGGAGCTGCTAGCATTCGTGCAAATCCGAAATCACAGAGTTTAATAATTCCTGTCTGGGATACTAAAATATTCTCAGGTTTTATATCTCGATGAATGATCTAAAAAACAAACAGAAGATGCAATACATTAAAATGAGGTTTCATTACCTAGAGAAGCTCTCAAAAATTATACAGAGAAAATCTAGCTAATTAAGGCAGTAAAGCTATTTTCTTACCCCATGCAAAGGATTAACCACACAATGCAAAAGCTGAAGTTATATATTTTCAATTCTTGCCCCATACATTATCTCAAAATGACAGGGAGACGAAAAAAACAAGTATAATACTAAAAAGGTACATCACACTCCTAAATGGAAAAGTAATCAAAAGAACTTGAAAAAAGTTTAACTTTCCTTTAACCCCATGTCACTTCCCAGGTACTACCCTTTCTCTCATTTTCTTCACAGTAAATCTCTTGCTGACATCATCTCTACTCATTCTTCACTTTATGATCATTCATTCACTACTCAAAGTAATGAAATCTGTCTTCTGCTGAAATGTTCCATTAAACTGAGCCAACATCAACAACTTAATTGTTGCTAGTCCAACAGAGACCCCTCAATGCATATCTTACTTGATATCTTAGTGTAAAAATGTTGCCAACCATTCCTTCATTCCTGAATACTGGGACCTAAAATTCTCCCAGGGTCCTTCTATCTCTACGGCAATTCTCTCTCTATCTGTCCCTTAAATGCAGGTTCTGATCTTAGGTTTTCTCTTCTCATACATCTTATCTCCCTTTGCCTGGTCTCTGTAAGTGCACTTATTGCCACTCGCTGAAGTCCCCGGCCCAGGTGTACCTCTATTATAGAGGCACCCCATCTGAATACATTCCCTTTTCAAGTGAAATCTTAGTTACAGTTCAAAACTGTACTTACATTAGTTTTAGCTCTTCTTCGAAGTCGTCTACTCTCAGTCTAGCCCATACTGGTTTTTCCCTTTTTCAAAAAACATTTTTAAAGTCTACAAGGCACTATAGCAGTGATGGCGAACCTATGACACGTGGTCAGAGGTGACATGCGAACTCATTTTTTTGGTTGATTTTTCTTTGTTAAATGGCATTTAAATATATAAAATAAATATCAAAAATATAAAGCTTTGTTTTACTATGGTTGCAAATATCAAAAAATTTCTATATGTGACACGGCACCAGAGTTAAGTTAGGGTTTTTCAAAATGCTGACACGCCAAGCTCAAAAGGTTCGCCATCACTGCACTATAGGACTACAGATAACATGACTATTCCTGACTCTGATACAGTGCTAAACACTTTATACCTACTACCTAATTTGATCTTTACAAAAAAATCTGTGAGATACTATAGTATCATTTCACAGATAAAGAAAATGAAGCTCAGTGAAGTTAGATAACATTTCTGGACCCAGAGAGTAATGGGGCTGCCACCTTTCATTGTGCAAGTTGTGAACTGCACAAGTTTTGTGTTTATCCACAGATAAGCTGGTGGGTGAAAATCCAAGACAGACTGATAACAAAGACTGGTGCTTTTAACTTTTGCATTATACTGCCTCCCCATGGATCTAGCTGGAAAGGAAATCACAATCTGAATTCCAGTTGCTATCCCAACCATATTTTTCAAAGCAGTAAAATATGATACACTATGAGCAAGACAGAAAATTAGGAATTAGGATATCTGAAAAAGTATGGAATATATATATGCTATGCCTATATCACTTCCTAATAAAACTATTTTTGAAGCTTTTACTGTTATTTCCTGAATACAAATCTAACTTTCCAGAAAGCAGAGCTCACAGTGGGAACAAAATATCTCCTTAATAACCTGAGCTAAGGCAATGCTAAGGGCAGCACTAAGAATCAGAAGAGTTGATTTTCTTTCCTTTCTTGATTTTTTCAGGAGTCAAACAAGGCTCTATATCTCTTAGCTACTTTATTTCTCCTTTCTTCCCCTAAAGGCATCCACATGAACTTGCCATTCCCCTGGCCAAGTTTCCACTTCCAACCTTCAAACCTCCCTTCATTTGAGCTGACCTAGCTTTCAACATTTTAAAATGTACTTTCTCTAGTAAAAGATGCCCCAATTGACTTTTGATTCCTCTATACCAAATTATTAATACCATACTTGGTCTGCCCTATAATTAGAAATATTGTAAGCTCACTATGTTTACTTGGTTCTGCAACTAAGTTATAAAGTAGTGACCTCATTTTCAGGATGTCAATATTGTACAGAAAGATAATTTTAACAACGTCATAAAAAAAAGAACAATATTTATTTTATTTTGGGGGTCTAGCAATGGCTTTTTATTTTTATTTATTTTTTTAAAAAAATCTTTAAAGTATTACATAGGTCCTGCTTTTCCCCCCATTAACCTCTTCCAGCCAGCTCCTGTTCTCCCTCCTCCCCCAGGCCCTCGCCACCCAGTGTCCTTGTCCACGGGTATGCATATGTGCATACAAGTTCATTGGTTGATCTCTTTCTACCCACACTCCCCTGCCTTCCCTCTGAGGTTCAACAGTCAAAACAGAACAATATTTAAAGGGCACTTATCATTCATATACATTCTATAGTTTCGCTTATTCTGCAGCACTTACATTATTATTGTGAAGATATTCAATTGCTCGAATGATTTGGAAAAGGTATTTTCTAAGTCGTTTACTCTCTAGTCCATGACAATAATGTTGTAACTCATCTAATACTGTGTGGTCAATAAATTCAAATACCAAATGAATTTTCTTTTTCTGTCTAAAAACTTCAATCAGATTGACCAGGTTTTCATGATGGAATTGCTATTGACAAAGAAACAGATTTTTAATAAATTATTTCATGCACAATGATTTATACATATAACAACTATATTTTAAAATGAAGCAGAAATAGTCTCAGCTTCTTTTCCTCCATGCATTTCAACAGAAATTTCTCAACTGATTTGCTTACATTCCTGTTTTAAGAAAATGTTAATCTATTTCATAATTAATATTTATAGAACAAAGGGAAATGTATTGCTTTACTTCAAGTTAGCATTTGCTTGTTTTTTATTAAAGTAATTTAGAGTTAATGTACTATAATGCAATTTGGTATGCTAAGAGATATCTTCCTATCTTTTAACTTGATTTGTGGTTAAATTTAACATCTGAAATTTAAACAGTCCTTATATTTTCAAATGAGCACCGAGTTCAATGCTACTGAGTATGTGATCTGAATGTATATAAATTATTCTTTGAGTTTAATCCTAAACTCTTGAGAGTAAAATCTGTTCCAGGAGGGACATTATAAGTTCATCACACTGTAACAAAAGAGTATCAGAATATCTAGAAACTTTCAGATATGTGAAATACCTATTTATAGCCAGAAGGACATTACATAAATATACAGTTATTTGTGTGTACATTTTTGTTCTAGTCTATTGAGCATTATGCTATTCTATTTGAATAAAATAATAGTCTATTATTCTATTAAGCAACAAGACATCTTTTTAGACTGATATAATAATTTTAAAATATCAAAAATGGTATGCATCGGCTTAGAAAAGAAATGACATTTTAATATTTTATGCTGCTTATTCTATTTTGTAACACATTGATTTAATTACAATAAACTCTGAGATATTTAACTTTTTCAAATTACCAAAAATACTTATTCATTTGGCTAAAAACTAAGGGGTATATTTTCAATATTAGATTCATTAGAAAACTCTACTTTATGAAAATTATTTGCCTTTATTCTGAGGGGATATTAGCAATTTTTCTACTTATCTGTATTAATATCTAAACCAGTCCTTAAAACATGACTAATAGAAAAACATGTCAAAATATAATGCCAGATGCCTTTCCTACTTTTGCTCCCAATTTCCTTGGTGGGCAAGATGCCAGCAGCAACAGCGTGCAGGCAGTAACAAAACAAAAAATGACTGCTTTTGGACTTTAATCTTTCAACTAAGGAAAATTATGGGTTTCCTATCCAGTCTTTATTTTAAGGGCAAAAGCAGTGAAAGGTTAATGGGAGTTAATAATCATTAGGGAAGATCCCCAGGGGTAAGGAAACAGGTACACTCTCAAATAAATCATGAAACCCCTAGAAATGCTCCATTACCCCTTTTCAAGTTGTTTGTTTTCCTTCATTACTAGACAAGGTTTATACAGATATTTGCACTAATTACTGTCATTTATTTAGTAAAATTCTAGAAGATAAAAATTTAGTTCAAATTAAGTCATTATGACTATCTTTTTAAATTAAGTATTGTTATCTAATCCAAGAAATCTCTCTTGTAGAATTAGATTAAACTAAAAATTCTATAAGAAATAAACCAATACGAATAATTAAGGTGTCTCAAAATAGTTTGCATAATAGTTGTAATAGCTGTAACATTCAAATTCATCCCTGTGCTCTTGCCATGACATAACTGACTTTTAGAAAAAAATAATCAGCTTAAATGCAATAGAGTTGAAGAAAGAATGAAATATATTACCTAGGAAAAGGTCTTCTAATCAGATTACTCACTTATAGTGTCTAATAGTTGCCTTACAGTATTATTATGTTTTGGGTCATCAGAATAAGGACTGGTATCTTACACAAAATTATAACATCTTCACTGACTTTAACTTTCCTTTTCATTGTCAAGAAATAGAGCAGTTCCAACGATACACAGACACCTAATATATTTCTTCAATTTTGAATTGATCCATCATACCTTATACTTACAAAGAAATAGAATATTACTTTGTTTTCTTCATTAAATAAAACATCTAGACTACATTGTCAAAGTCATAACCTTAAAGCATCTAGATAAATTCCAATTTATAATATACATATATACTTAAATCACTAGTTTTGTACTCAATCACCAAGGGGTCTTAATGCCCCTTTCTTTACACCCGGGAGTACTTTCCCCTAGGTTGACCTGTCATACCTACACAAAATCCTATCGTCTGCCCTGATCTCTCCTGATATTGTTCGCCATCTCTAAGAGCCCTCTGGCCATCTTTACTTAAATGTACTCCTGTCACCTCAAATTCAACATTTCTTTCTGTTTTTTTCACCTGAGGATATTTTTCCCATTGATTTTTAAGAAAGAGTGGAAGGGAGGGGGAGAGACAGAGAAAGAGAAACATCGATATGAGAGAGAGACATAGATTGGTTGCCTCCTGAAAGTGCCCCGAATGGATCAAATCTGCAACTGAGGAATGTGCCCTTGACTGGAATCGAACCCGGGACCCTTCAGTCTGTAGGCTGCTGCTCTCTCCACTGAGCCAATCAAGAACAAATTCAACATTCCTAAAACTGAACTAGTTCCCAAACTATGCCTCGTGGGGTATTTCAAACTTCCATGATAGTACTCACTGAACCTCAAAGAAATCTTTGTGTCTTCTTTTGCAATATATCATGTTTTAACTTTATTTTCCATTCAAATTGTCACAATCCAGTAGGGTTCCTCGTGACATTTACCAGTATTCCTGAATTAAATTCCCTAACAGGACTCCCTATTGTTATTCTTGGAGTCCTCCAATCTTTTCTAAAAAATAGTGCCACATTTGTATTTATAGAGTTTCTTTATTCTGAATTCAAAACCTTCGTCCTCTTACATATTCAAATTTTAACTCCTTAGCCCAAAAGGCAAGATTTAAAAACCGCTCTGGTTGGTTTGGCTCAGTAGACAGAGCATTGGCCTGCAGACTAAAGGGTCCCAGGTTTGATTCTGGTCAAGGGCACATGCCCAGGGTTTTGGGCTCAATCCCCAGTAGGGGGCAAGCAGGCAATCAATGATTCTCTCATCATTGATGTTTCTCTCTCTCCCTCTCCCTTCCTCTCTGAAATCAATAAAATTACATGTGTTAAAAAAAAAGACTTAAAAACCTACGTCCAATTTACCTTTCTAACTCTACCTCTATTTCGGTACAGGAAATTCTACAGGCAAATACCTTTGCTCTTTGTCCTTTCCACTCTGCTCCTTTTTTTTTTTTTTTTTTAAATCCTCACCCGAGGATATTTTTTCCATTGATTTTTAGAGAGAGTGGAAGGGAGAGGGAGAAACACCAATGTAAGAGAGACACATCAATTGGTTGCCTCCCACATGCCCCCGACCAGGACCAGGAGGCTACAACCGAGGTACATGCCCTGACCAGAATCGAACCTGGGACCCTTCAGTCTTCAGGCTCAGGCTCAACCCACTGAGCCAAACCTGCTAGAGTTCCACTGTGCTCTTTATCTTTGTCCTGCTTTAGCCACTCTGAGCTTATGCTGTTCCACTAACCTATTATACAACAGTCTCTCCTTCTTACATAAATCCTACACATCATTTAAAGCCAGAGTCATGTCCCAATTCTTCCAAGAAACCTTCACTACCCAACAGGACTTTGTGTTAATCACTTGGCACTTCTTATGAGCCACTTTTTATGCAGTATTATATGTCCTCCTGTCTCTCTGATTAAATAATAAAAGGCCTGAAGAGCAGGTACTGTCTTTTACCTCATTATAGTCTCAGCATCTGGCACAATGCCTTGCACAAAGCACACATTTTTATATTTCAGAATAATTATTTCACAATAATCAGTGAAATTCTAGAAGATAAAAATTTAGTTCAAATTATAACTTTTGTTATATTATCCATAAGCACATATATCTTGTATCACTATAAAATTACAAAATGTAAGACAATTAGGTAGGGTATCACACTTTTCTATTACCTGTCTTAATACATGTGTTAACTGAAAAACTCCTTATATAATTTTTTTCCATAACTATTTCTCTCTCAACTTAAAGAGCAATTAAGGCAAAAGAAGCAAACCTTTAGAAACTTTATTTCTCTCGATGCAATTTTGTTGACAGATTTTTCTGGTGTCTCATAAAAAATCTTAATGGCCACTATCTGCCCGGTATCCTTATGTTTACACTTCATGACTGTTCCATAACTTCCTTCTCCCACTTTTCCAAGAGTTTCATACATATCCATTCTTAAGCCCTGCTTCTTCACAGAAATAAAGAAAATGTTAAACATTTTTATTTTATTTATTGAAGCTGGATAATGCAGTTCCACAATAAACCCATACTTTAAAATACAGAAACATAGAAAAAAAATAGGAATCTTTTCCACAGGCACCGTTTGTCTTTGGAAACTGCCAGCCCGGCAGTAAGGTGTACTTGTGGGGCTCCAGCCTTCCGGAGAACTTCGGGACCCTCCTGCTGCCTCGGTTATTCCCATCAACACTAAGTATTAAGATTCCTTCACTACACGTCACAATCCAGGGGGCGGAGGGTTATCCTCACACTTCCGGTCATGCCCGTCAAATAAGAGGTTCCGCAATACTGCAGTGGCCCGCAGGTCAGTCCCCGGGACCCAAGAAAACCTCGGTCCAGCCCACTCCTCAAAGCAGATATCTTAGGGTCCCGGGTCAGTGTCGCACCCTATGCCCGGCGGACGACCTCGTCCGGGCAGCCGCCACCGCCTCAGCCCATTCTGTGGTCCCGAAGGTCCGGCCCCGCGTAGTCCCAGTTGTACTTTGGCCGCTGGTCCCACTAGCTCTCCACCACCCGCTACCATGGCAACGGTGCCGCCGGCCTCTAGTGCGCAAGACCGGAACACAGGCCGGACTGGCCTGACCCGGAAGGAAAGTGAGAAGTAGCGGAAAAGACTAGCTCCCGGTGTGCTCTCAACGGAAGCTCGTTTAGGGGTGGAGGTGGGGATTAGTGGTTGCCAACGATCAAATTGGGTTCTCCTCGCAAAGCTGATTTAGAGTGGAGATGGGGGGGGGGGGGGTAATGCATCAGCAATTCAGACGGCAGCGTGAGTGACTGCAAATACTCTAGGAGAGAGGAACCGCGGCGGAGGCTTGTCCCACCGGCCTCGCGTATGTCCCCAGGCTAGAGAACACCTGCGCTTCCGCTGGGTCCTAAAAGGACGGCAGGTGTCATTAAATAGTAGAGACTTCTTGTAAAAGGAGACTTCCGAGCAAGTCTAGTGTGATTGTAGTTTTCTAAGTTACCTAGTTATGTAAATACTCCATAGACGAGTTTGAGTTCAGCTGTCCACATTTCATCCTTAAAATGGAGAGAAGACGCTTCTTACATCAAGAACATTTCTGCAATACGCTTAAAAAATTTTTTTTCAAGCTCATAGTAATCCTTTTTAAGAAAACTGTGTGTCAAAACTGGAAAACTTCCTTTTGGGGGAAGCAAATATTTCAACGGGTTCTACCACACATGGGTTAACACACAAGGGTATAGGGGGGAAAGCTGTTAGCTAATTGCTTAATACTAGAATGAGGTCCTGCTGGCCTTCCAGCCTCCAGTGAATAACAAGGATATCACTGGAGCAAGTGCCCTCTTTCTTAGGGATTTCATTTATTTTTGTCTGTAAAAGTAAATTTAAATGTTAAAGGGCCAAATCTCACTGTTTCCCTAAATGAGGAAATACCATTATCCAGTAAATTCGAGCCCAGTTGGTCCCACTCACCATGCATATTAAAATTATATCTGGTGAGCTTTTAAAAAGGTTCCACCCCAGAGATCCTAATTTAAATGAGAAAGGGTAAAGGAATTGGTATTTTTAAAGCTTCTGAAATGTTTCAATGCTGCTCAAATTTATATTGAGAGAGGAGTGGGAAGGGAAGGAGAGGTGGTCATGGTTGTCTTTTTCTTTTAATATATTTTTTATTGATTTCAGAGAGGAAGAAAGAGGGAGAAAGGGATAGAAACATCAATGATGAGAGAGAATCATTGATCAGCTGCTTCCTGCACATCCCCCAGTGGGGAGCGAGACTGCAACCCGTCATGTGCCCTGACTGGGAATCGAACAGTGACCTCCTGGTTCATAGGTCAACATCCAACCACTGAGCATGCCAGTCAGGCAATGGTCATGGTTTTGAAACTGGACAACCAATGGATCCGGGCTGGGACTGATGGATCCGGGCTGCCTATCACTACTTGATCCAATTAAGCAGAGACTGAGTTGAATCATGTGAGTGTTTATTCTAATAATGCCACAGTATGGGAGAGCAGCAGGTCATCCATGAAAATCTGCTCTGCTTATGTTGGTTAGAAGGACAAAATTACATGGGGAAGTGGGCAAAAGGAATTACAGGCATGGGGAAGTAGGCAAAAGGAATAAGAATGGGTATAATGGTTACTAGTTACAGGCAATGAGGGGGTTTGGAAGGGTGGACTCTCTTGTTTCAACTCGGTTGTTAATTCTTTGATGAATGGACCGCATTCCCAGGTTAACTCCCATGTCCCAGGGTGTACAACTCTCAGCCATTTAGAATGTGGTTTCTCCAATCAGAATAGAACAATCATGGTTAACAGAGCATGATTAATATTTCTGCCCCTAATAGTTTTTGTTTATCACTACCAAAATATTGAGCATTTTTTTCCATTTAAAAAGTTATTCAGTGTGGCTCTGGTTAGAACGTCGACCCAGAAGTGTCTTGGGTTTGACTCCCAATCAAGGGCACATACCTGGGTTGCAGGTTCGATCCTGGGACCTGGTGCAAGGGAGGTAACCAATCTACGTCTCACATCGATGTGTTTCTATCTTCTCCCCTCCTCTCTTCCACTCTCTCTAAAAATCAATGGAAAAAATATCGTCGGGTGAGGACTAACCAAAAAAAAAAAAGTTATTGAACCCTGTTATAAAATACTTTGTATCTATGAATAAGAATGTCATAGTGGGCTCAGACTTTATAAGTATATTTATTAAATATTTGTTGTGGACTAAATAATTGCAAGGGACAAAGCATGAATCAGAGTCCTTGCCCTCAGTGATCTCATAATCTAGAGCTACAGAATCACTACAGTATAAAATTATAACTTTTAAAGGGAAGGGGGGGGCAGAAGAGATTAAACAAAGAACTTATATGCATATATGCATACCATGGACACAGACAACAGTGCAGTGAATGCTTGGGGAGACTGGCAGGAGTGGGATGGAGGGGGTCAATGGGGGGAAAAATGAGGACATCTGTAATACTTTCAACAATAAAGATAAGTTAAAAAAGAAACTATCTACTGTGAACCATAGGCCCCAAATGCTATTACTTGTGCTAAAAGCCCATGATACCAAACCTAGATTTAATACCTCATCTAATTGCAGTTTCAACCTCAGCCAGAAGCAGCCTTGACTAGAAAATTCCAGATAACCAGACTCAAGATTTTGTTTTCTGGCAATTGTTGACAGTTTGGCTCAAATAAATTCACAAAAATTCTTCACACGTTTGAATGTTTCTTATGTTGACAAATGGCGCTAGATAAATGACATAACAGACTTTTTTTTTGAAGTTTCTCTTTAGTATTTCATTGCACGTAACCCTACCAGTGTGTCTTCATCCTTGGTAATAGGAGGATTAGGATTGCTATGGCAGGAAGGCAAAAAAGTAAAAATAAGGATATTCAACTTTTGATTTAGAGAATCACATTTGTGAATGCACAGCAGGACCTATCAAAAGTTAGGTCTGGCTAACTTGATCACAAAGGCAGTTACTAAAAGCAAGAGATAGTCAGGGTTTGAAAAAAGGGAGTGTTGACATAAGAAACATCCAAACCTGTACAGAATTTTTATGAATTTACTTGAGACAAACCGACAATTGCCAGGAAACAAAATCTCTTATCAGATTGAGAAAATGCTCCCGAAAAAAAATGGCAGTTTTACCATTTATTTTATACATCAGAATCAAAGGAGAAGATGTAAGGGGGTTATATGAAATCCATTGGTGATTAGGGAGATGGTAGAACTCAGATTGAGGAAATCTCTGAGATTGGATAAAAAGTATACCAGAGACTCAAATACTTCTTTTACATTGGTGGGTTCAGGATAATGAACACTTATCATGGTATGTGGAGAAAAGATAGCAACGGGTTCAGTGGTCTCAAGTTCTGGTGCGAGATTATGCCCCAGGGGTCTGGAAAAAGGGGGATTACTCTGACATAACAAAGGTATGTTATCATAGATGCAAAAAGACAATAGGACATGACTACCTTCCATGGCTCCCTTTTCGTTAGGAAGTTCTCATTTCAGACCATCCTATATGGCTATTTTAGGTCTCTGAGCTTGTAAAGCTTGCCATGCAGGCCTCCCCTAAGTTTGTCGGTTTTAGTATGTGGCTTCTTTTTTGTCCAGGAGATACCAGGAAAGTGGGGAAAGAACCCTCTCTGGTTCCATTGAACTATGGGCAGTTTGGGGCAATGCTAAGGCCCTCATCCTATCCTCTCATTCTGGTTTGGGCTGAAGAATTACCCTAATATATATGAAAAGGTTCAGGGTCCTCTACAAGAGTCAATAACTTTGAGCTGTTCTCCCACGCCTTCCCCGCCCTCCCTGAAGCTGTGGGGAGCATTTCTGGTGCATCTGCATCAAAAGAGCTAATGTGGAAGACCTGAAATGAATTATCCAGGCTAGATATAAAATCCCCAGCCATGTCGCCATGATCTGTTCCCCAATCTACACCATTCTTTTACCTTTGCCCATAATTTCCAACCCTGGAAACCCCACTGCAGTGCACACACAGGCAATCTGGTGCCCCTAAGGAAGATTTTACTTTGTATTCAGGGGATTTTACTTTGTATGGGTCTCAGCATTCAATACCGCAATAAAAAAAAATGGTGGTCCCATCACTTTATGTACTAGATTTGATAAGCTTTTGAAACAACCAAAGGAGATTACAATTCCAAATTATTTTTAGCTCTGTGTTAGACTTAAGCAAAACATGCTTCGCTTCCCAAAACCTCTTCCTCTCCCATTGCCCTCCCTGATCCTGGGACCAAATGTTTGGAAAACTAATACAGGTGTATGCCCATCCGGTCAGTTTAACTACCTGCTTCAAATACCTGGCCGAGACTCAGGTGCAGCGTAGCCCTCGCTTTACCAGTTCTAATCACGTCATAGGGGCACGTGGTTCTGGATACTTCGCCACCTCCCCCTCAGGGGTGGATTGTTGACATCGCCACCGGTAGATCACGTGACCTTACGTCATCCCACCTCCTTCGCCTGAAATCTCCAACCCGCTGGCGTCCCCCTCTCCCCACTCGGTCGGACCTAACCTAGTGAAAGGGGACGCATCAGGGTGGTGTTTCGGATTTGTTGTCTCCTAACCCACTATTATCTAGTCTGAACACAGAAAATACTCATTTTCCAATTAGTTCAGAGAGCACCAACGGTAGGACCTTGTTGAAAAGCTACCGCAGGAGCTCTCACCCGTGCCCTCCCCCTTTCCTCCCCCCCTCGCGCCGTGGTACTGGCGGAGGGCGGAGGGATCTGGAGGCGGCGGAGGGAGACGTCATTGCGGGGTTGTTTGTGCAGCCTCCGTGGCGGTGACCCGCAGTGATTCGGCCGCCGCGCCGGGGGGTGGGGGGGCCGCGCGGGACTCTTTTCTTTCAGACGGACCGCGGGGCAGCTGTGGAGCATGTCGACCCCCGCCCGGAGGAGGCTCATGCGGGATTTCAAGCGGTAAGGCCCTTCCCCTCCGCCTGGACGACGGCTCCTCCCCGAAGCTGCGGGCCTACCGGACGCGGATCCGGGACACCTTCCTCTTGGGGTCCTCAGAGGGCCGGCTGTGGACCCCCCGGGAGCGACGGGGGGCCAGTTCCAACCCCCGTTCGCTATCCCGATAGCGGAGTGGTTTCTCACTCCGCTATCCCTCCCTCCCCAAAAAGTAAAAAAAAAAAAAAAAAAAGGCTGTGTGCACCTAGGATTCCCCGCTGCCCGCTTGGGCCAGCTGCCTGACTTGTCGCCCTGCCGTTGAAACCTTACCCCCGCGCCTGCACCCGGCGGTACCCCTTCTCGAGACCCCAAAAGGGAGCCCTTGCAGAAGCTTTTTCCTCGCTGACTCCACCAGTGAGCTTTGTTCGACGGGCCTGCGGTCTCCTCGGAGGGGCAGGGTGGAGGCGAAAAGCACCCCCCCCCCTTTCTGCAGGGAGGGTGGGGTCAGCCTCGGGAGGTCGGAGGTGGTTAACCCATCTCTCGAACCCGACTCCCCCTTCTCCGCCCGCGGCGGCGGGCAGACCTTGAGAACTGGCTCAGGCTGGGACCGAGCTGGCAGCGCGGCTGCAAGATCTTCTGCACTCTGTTCGGGCCTGGGCAGAAGCTCTATCTATAGTCTCCAAAGTCTGGAAAATGCTTCTCGAGCAGCGCTAACTTATATTCTCAGGCCTCCTTTGTAAACGGTTTGGTAGAGACGTGGGGTGGGAGGAGAAGGACTTTTTTTTTTTTCTCAGTTGTTTACCGTTTACTTTGAGGTACGGTGGGGGGAAAGTAATAGAAAACTTAGCATTGCGATCCTCTGTTTTTCTGAGACCTGCCCTGATTGAGATGAAATTTGTAGTATAGAAACTTAGATCAGCGGCTCAGGAAGTGACCTCTCAACTTGGCCATGATAAAATCGTAGGTGAGGCCTTGGAAGCCATTGTTTTGGGCTTTGACCAGTTTATCATCATTGAATATATTTGTCACTTCTCTTAGCCGGTTACCTTTGGTGGGCGTCCAGCAGCATCATTCCTGTAAGGCTTCTGTTCGTGGCCCAGTCTTCTTGAGGCTGACTAAAAATAACTGTCTTTATGTGGACTGATTTGAAAGTATCATACCAGATGACAATCACTGCACATATATATATATAGAGAGAGAAAATACAGCGTTTATTTTTTACTGAGTCTTTGAAAGGAGATGCCCTATTTCATGTAAAAGTCATCTTCTAAAGCTTGAAATCAGTAGATTTCAAATTAGCTGAAATTCAGATGAGTGAAATTCAAATAATAAAACTTACAGTTCGTGCCTATTGTTACCCTGATTTGCTGTGATTCTCTGCTTTATTCTGCATTGGACACAGGGTACCTTTGGTAATTTTCCAAGGGTCTTCAGGTTACAAGAATTTGACAGATGTTGGAAGATAGTTTTGTATTGAGTCTCCTGCTCTCAGAGGTAGTTTTAGTGTTCGTGCAGCGCCTTTAAAATAAGGACTGACGGGAAACCAAGCAATTTTGATTACTCTGAAAGCCATTGCTAATTGAAGCAAATGGGATAAAGTAGCTCTCCTGCCTGAAACTACTTTCCTAATCAAATTGAATCAAGTGTTTTCAGTCCTTTAGTGGTCACGCTGAGGATTTTTCTGTTTTGAGGAGGAGGAGGTTTGGTGGCCATGTTGCACAAATAGCCATCCTTAGCACTCACACAGTCTGCATTACAGCAGCAAAATTGATGGTTCTGTTAAAATGTTCTTTTATTTTTGGTTGAGGGCAGCCTATACATATGTTAGCTGTTGAAAGATATCTTAATCTTGATGGTAATTGAAGAGGGATACTCCCAAGCCCTTTAGCATTCTAGATGATTTGTAGTGGTATCTAACAAGTATGTACCTGGGCGAGTTTTTTTTATTGTCAGATGGTTTATTCCAGCTCAGCATAAGAACAAGGAAATAGGTGTTGTTTGTGTCTCAGAGCAGAGAGTATAGAGTCTATAGGTGTTCTATTTGGCCTTTTTAGTGGCCCAAATGTTCAACTTTTAAAATTATACTATGGATTTCTAGATTGCAAGAGGACCCACCTGTGGGTGTCAGTGGCGCACCATCTGAAAACAACATCATGCAGTGGAATGCAGTTATATTTGGGTGAGTTGAAAGATAAAACAACTGATAGGTGTGGTGAGTTTTTAAAAATGAGCAACTAGGAAAAGAGACTGAGGTTGAACGGGGACCTCACAGAAACTGCAAGGTAAATTAGAAAAAACATTGCCATAAAAGTTTTATCGGTTACATAAAATTTATTTGCATTTTGCAATTAATACATAAGATTTTATAGCCCTAGCTGGTTTAGCTCAGTGGATAGAGCATCGGCTGGTGGATTCAAGGGTCCTGGGTTCGATTCCAGTCTGGACACATGCCCAGGTTGCGGGCTCGATCCCCAGTAGGGGGCGTGCAGGAGGCAGCCAATCAATGATTCTGTTGTCATTGATCTTTCTATTTCTCCCTCTCCCTTCCTCTCTGAAATCAATAAAAATATATTTTTAAAAAATACATAAGATTTTATAACAACTTTGGGTTTTACCTTATAAAAATACCATTTGAAACTAAAGGAGAAGAGATAAATGATTTTATATAAAATGTGCCAAGCAAGTGTTTATGCTTGTATTTATTAGAACTATAAAAAGGCTAGGAACAAAAACATTGAGAACTTAGACTATGACAAGATTTTAAATGAAAAACGTTTCATAGCCCAGTATGAAATACAGGCATACCTCAGAGATACTGTGGGTTTGGTTCCAGACTACCACAATAAAGCAATTTTTTTTTGGCTGGTGGAGGGCCTTACTTTCAATTCATAAAAAAAGGCAGCATCTGTGAAGTGCAATAAAATGAGTATGCCTGTAGCTGAATGAAGTCTTTGAGAAGCAGTCTTACATTCTACATATATATTGCATATATGCTTTTTAATTTAAAATTTCCTTATGCCTTTTCTTTGGTTTTCTCAGAATTGATCTTTTTTTATTTCACTCTTTTTTAAAAACTAGGGTTTTGTGCTAAATCTTTAATTTTAAAGGGGAATATTTTCATAAACAATTCTGAGTTGCCTCTGAATTAGTTACAAGTAAGAGTCTACCTTAAAAACTAGTGGGAAAAAGAGGGTAGTTCTCCTTCTAAAGTTATTATTTTAAATTCAGGCTGTGAACATGCTTCTTTGAGACCTGAATATGCCTTGCAAGTAATAATTAAACTTCATGCTGCTGCTTAGGAAAAATGAAATTGGGGTATGGAGGCCAGGAAAAGATTTGAGCAAAAGAAACTGGCTTTCTTGATTTAGTTATGTCTATCCAGTTTGAACTAGAAATTGCTCTGTTGAAAAATAGAACACACCTGCCCTAGCAGAGGGGCTCAGAGCATCATCCAATACATAACAGGTTGTGGGTTTGATTCCCAGTCAGAGCACATACCTAGGTTTCAGGTTCCATCCCCAGTCAAGGCTCTTAAAGGCCCGGCCAATCGAAGTTCCTCTCTCACATCAATGTGTCTCTCTCCCTTCCTCACTAAAATTAATGAACATCATATCCTTGGGTGAGGATTTTTTTGAAAAGCAGAACATGCTGCTTTGGTAACATAGTTAAACTAAAGGGTATTGATTTCCATCTTACTGATGTAAATTAAAATAGGACCTTTTCTCTCAAGAATGCACATATTTACAAAATAACTTGTTGGTATTTGGGAGCTGAATTCTTTTTGTGCTAAAATTATGATACATTTGTGTGTGTGTGTGTGTGTGTGTGTGTGTGTAAAGCTACCCTAAGAGGAAAACTTAGAAAATAAAAGTTACCTTTTATGCCTAAATCTGTAAAAATTTAGGCCTAAGATGATACTAAATTAACACTATCTTAAAAACTCCACAAATTGTCAGGATGAGCCCCTCTTTCTGTTTGAGTTTATCCTTTCCACTCTTGAAAACCAGGAAAAGGCAGAACAAAAGAATGAAAAACGTGTTTTAATCAGAAATTTTCTTGTTTTCAGACCAGAAGGGACACCCTTTGAAGATGGTAAGTCATTCTCCTTATGTTTTCTACAGTGTTAAGAGGCTTTTTAAAAAGTAGGAAATTATGCCCTAATTGGTTTGGCTCGGCCTGCAGACTGAAGTGTCCCAGGTTCGATTCCGATCAGAAGCACATACCCCCGGCCTGGGCCCTGGTGGGGGCTCTTGCAGGAGGCAACCAATGTCTCTCTCACATTGATGTTTCTCTCTTTCCCTCTCTCTTCCACTTTCCCTAAAAATCAGTGGAAAAATATCCTTGGGTGAGGATTAATAACAACAACAGAAGTAGGAAATTATAACACCAATGTATCTACTTAAAACTGTTTTTTATTGTTAATAGGTCAAATTAAAATTAAATACTGCTACTGAGTTTACAAGACTTTCTCCTCCCATCAGCTTGATCACCTTTGTTGCCACTCTATTACCTTAATATTTGGCTATAGAACCTTAAGCCTAGATCATAGGGTCTGTGTTGATAATAGTTTAAATTTTGATGGCCTTTGTAGCATGCTAACAATGTTGCTGTGGTAAACACTAGGAGAGGGTAATGGTGCTTTTTTTTTCTTTTTTTAACTTTGTCATCTGTATTGATAGGATGTTGAGCTGAAATTGTTCTTAAATACACAAAGCTGTCAGTAATTTCACATACAACTGGCATTCAACACCTGTAAACAGCATTCTTGCATACTTTTTAAAAATATATGTTATTTTTTGAAAAAAGCAAATTTCCAGTTCTAAAAAAGAATTGTTAAACAGGTTTGTTTTAATTATCAAAATGGCTTCAGCATTAATGCAGCAAAGATATTTGTACAAAAATATTGATTGCAGCACCATTTTTAAGGAGATAACCTGAATGCCCAATAGAGGAAATGGTTAGCAAATTATGGTTTAGCTAGACTCTGGAGTATTATATACCTGTTAAAGAATAAGGTAGACCAAATGACGTTACAGAATAATGTATGTTGCAATAAGTACATATATGCAAGTGTGTCTGTTATGTCAAAGGATTATGTACCACACTGTTATCAGTGGTTACTTCTAGGTCAGGGTTAGGAATTAAATAGAGGTATTTAAGGACTTAAGCTTTTTACTCTACACCAAGTTATTCTCAAGAGTGGTCCAAAAACCCCTTAAGGTCCCTAAGACCCTTTCAGGGGTTCAATGTGATCAAAACTGTTCATACCAATACTGAGACATTTGCCTTTTTTTTCACTGTATTGACATTTGCACTGGTGGTACAAAAGCATTATTGACTAAAACCAGGACCTAAGCAGTTTAGTGTCTTGGCATAAATCAAGATAGTGGCACCAAACTGTACTAAGTGGTACTTTTTATATTTTAAAAAATGCCAGTTTCACTTAATCTCTTGGTGAAAAAGTGGAAATTATTAATATTATTAAATTATGATCCTTGAGTATACATCCTTTTAATATTCTGTGTGATGAAGTGGAAAGTATGTATACAGCACTTTTCTTGTATACCAAATATAATGATTGTCTGGAGGAAAAATACTTCTGCAGTTGTTTGAGTTGCAACTTGAACTACTGCTTTTTTCATGGAACATTCTTACTTGAAAAAATGACTGACAGACAAACTGATTATTTAGGTTTGAGTATTTGGCAGGTTATATTCTCAAAAGTGATCTAAGTGAGCTGTTAGGTCAACAAGAGCAGCTGAACAGTGAACCAATATTTTCCAAATGTGAATGATGTAAAGCTTTATTTATATGGTTTCAGATTCTACATTGCAACTAACCTTTAAAAACTTACCATTTCTTTGGTGTAATATAAAAAAATACCTAGTTATCTGAAAAGGCTATGGAAGTACTCCTTTCCTTTTCATTTATATAATTGTGTGATGCCTGATCTTCTTCATGTTCCTCAACCAAAACAGCATATTGCAACAGATTGAATACAGAAGAAGCTAAGAGAATCCAGCTGTCTTCTGTTAAGATAGTCATTAAAGAGATTTGCAAAAAATATAAAACAATACTTCACTTCTCACTAACTTGGTGAGAAGATATTTGTTGTTGTTTTTTCTCATTAAATGTTACTTAGGTAAATGTGTAATGAGTTTATAGTTCTTAAGGATAAATATTTTAAGATTTTTGAGTTATAATTTCTAATACAACACATATTGATAGTTACAGCCCCTGGTGTGCTGGGGGCAGCTTGTACTGATTTGTGAGAACAGATTGTTAAAAGTTTTGGGAATTTTTGCAAGCTGATTATTAGAGAGCCAATATTTTAAAATGAAATTATTTTTTATTTTTGGTGGAGATACCATAAAATGGTATGCTATTGCATGCATCTCTTTCCAGCTTCACATTCAGTGACTTCACATTGAAGCTTGGTGGAATGAGAAAGTAAAAAGGGTCCTGAGCCCTAGTCGGTTTGGCTCAGTGGGTAGAGCCTGCTGGCTGAGGGGTCCCCTTCAGTCCCGGGTTTTGTCGAGAGCCTGTGCCTCGTGGCAAGGCTGGATCCCTGGCCCTGATCAGGGCCAGTGTGGGAGGCAGCCAATCGATGTATGTCTCTTTCACATCGATGTTTTCATTTACATAATTGTGATTGTCTCTCCCATTCTTTCTAAATTTCATTGGAAAAATAACTTCAAGTGAGGATTAATAAAAAAGGGGGGGTCCGGAGACCCCACAATAGGGGGAGAACTTAAAAATAGCTGTTTCATATTTGTGTTTACTTGAAATTTTTACATAGTACATTTTTGTAATTAAAGAGAATTAAAATGTAAACTTTAAAAATACATAGGTATAAGGCTGTCTTCACTAACTATACATTTCATAGTACCTCTATTAATATATCAAAATATGAAATAGATACCACCTTTTATTTTGCTTATATCTTTGACCTCCCTAATTCCAAATTTCCAAACAAAAAATTGTGAAGAGGTAGAGTTTGAATATCAAATATGAGTAGTGAAGAAGATAAAGAATAAAATATTTTACTAAATACATGCCTCTTATGTTAGTAAACTGAAGCCAGGAGCTTAGAATTAGGTTGATTAAGGTTTTGTTGTTTAGATTATTTTTTAAATTTTTATTTTTTAGTAGATTATTTTTAATTTTTTTTTTTTTTAGTTATAGTTGGCATTTTTTTTAAAAAGTGGCATTGGTGACATAAGGGAAAGAACTGTGTAGAGACACATGGAATGGTTTAAACTTTCCTTGACTTCGTTAGGAATAAGTTTTTCCAAGGGGTTGTAATTAGAGGGAGGACCTCTCTAATCTACTCACCTTTAAGGTGAGTTTCCTCAAAATAAAAGGACTTTGGATAGTGAATAAACACAAAAGAAGTCTAAAAAAACAAACCCCAAACCACTAGTAGTGTTATTTCTGTGAAATGGATTTGGAATTGGAGTTGAGAGTTCTTAACTTTTCTGTTTACTGTGAACAGATTTACTTTGTTAAAATGCATAATTTTAAAAAAATGCCTATGCTTCTGTTGACCAAAAAATACTGATATAGACTGACCAAAATGTACTGTGTTGGTCTATAACCAACAATAGTAGGCAGTTACACTTATGCTTACCAGTACTGATTCTTGGCATATTTAAGTGAAGGGAGTCTTAAGGGACAGAACAGACCTTTTACATTAGCTCCCAAGTCTCCAATCTGAGTCCATTGTATGTGGTAGTCACCAACTCTCAAAAATCCTCTGGGCACCCTCCCCTCTTCTAAGCTATAATAAATTGTCCAAATGTGCATTTTAAATTTAGTAGCTAGAACCAAATTGCCTTTTAAAAATGTAACAGTTATTCCCACCAATAGTATGTGAAAGTGTTAGTTTCCTATGCTTGCCAATGCTATGTGTGTTGTCATTCTGACATAAATTGAAGTATATTAGTATGTTTCATATGCTAAACCAAAATTCACATGAATTTTTATATGGTGCAAATACCAGTATGGGTTGAAAATTCATTGATGAAGAGATTTAAAAGTTATGCTTGTCCGTACTATAATTATTTTGGTTTGTTTTCTATCTAGGTACTTTCAAACTAGTAATAGAATTTTCTGAAGAATATCCAAATAAACCACCAACTGTTAGGTTTTTATCCAAAATGTTTCATCCAAATGGTAAGTAGCAATTTTGTTTGACTTTGCAAATGATAAAGGGGAGGGGGGAAAGGCTTGTTTCCTTCCTTCTAGGTCTTACCCCATAGTTCTCACTCCAAGGGCCCATTTCCAGATGTTGTTTCCAGATCAGTATTAGTCACAAATCTTACCAAGGTTCCAAATTTGAGATAAATTTTTGTTTTAATAACTTCTGATTTTAAAGTAATATCTATTTGTAGAACTGTGAAAGATGTTGAAAAGAATTTGTCACTTAAAATTTAGCTTTTAAAAACACAAATAAATGCTTGTACAAAATTGGTATGTTCTGAATAAAGTTAAGTACCTAATTTTTTATATACTATGAACATTTTCCCTTATTAAATATTTCTACACCATTCTTAGTGGCTACAAAATGTTCTGAGTTTGCCATAACTTATCTAATCAGTGTCCAGTTGTTTTCAGCACTTTTGATATTCGTGAAAATAAATCTTCTCAAATACTCCTGAATATTTCTTTCTTTTTTTTTTTTTTTAATATATTTTATTGATTTTTTTACAGAGATGAAGGGAGAGGGATAGAGAGTTAGAAACATCGATGAGAGAGAAACATCAATCAGCTGCTTCCTGCACACCTCCTACTGGGGATGTGCCCGCAACCAAGGTACATGCCCTTGACCGGAATCGAACCTGGGACCTTTCAGTCCACAGGCCGACCTACTGAGTCAAACCAGTTAGGGCCTGAATATTTCTTTAGAATAAGTTTTTAGAAGTGGTATTACTGGATCAAAGGTTTGTGTATTTTTAAGGCTTTTTAAAATAGTTTTACTCTTTTTTTCTCATTCCTATTTTCACTTTCAGAAGTTTATTTTATTATTTTTCATAAATGATTGCTGAGGGACCCTTTTGTAGTTAAATTTGTCCTTCCCTGACTTTGTGCTCTTTACTTTTAATATATTTATATTCCTGATTATAAATTACTGTCTGAAAGACTTATTTTTCAAAATATTTAAGCTCTCTTTTTGTAACCTTTTGCTCATTTCAATGTGATCTTCCCCATCAGTTAACTTCTTTTCAGAAGGCACATATTCAGAAGTCTTTCTGATTGCATGTAGTCTCGTACTGCAAACTGCATGAGTGAGCTATAGGCAGGTAGAGCTCCCTACTCAGAGGAGTGTTTTTGTGTACGTGGAACCAGTGTGACTTCCCAATAATAGATTTAATTTCTTTTGCTTTTTTCTTCCAGCTGCCATTTTTTTTTCTTTTAAAGCCAAGACAGGTTTAATTGAATGTTTTGTTTCTGTTTTGGGGAAATTCCCAAGTTGCTTACTACTCTGCTTTTGCTTTATCCTGGCTTAGACTTTATATTGAATCAACCCAAATTATAGTAAGGGGGCTCTGTAAATCAAGGTGGAATAGGCTGTAGAATGCACAGGGAGTATATGTGTATAGGTGTAGGATTAATAGATTTATGGAGAAACTATATTGTTATTTTTGATCATTTAATATTAATAGCGCCAAACCGGTTTGGCTCAGTGGATAGAGCGTCGGCCTGCGGACTGAAAGGTCCCAGGTTCGATTCCGGTCAAGGGCATGTACCTTGGTTGCGGGCACATCCCCAGTAGGAGGTGTGCAGGAGGCAGCTGGTCGATGTTTCTCTCTCATCGATGTTTCTAACTCTCTATCCCTCTCCCTTCCTCTCTGTAAAAAATCAATAAAATATATTTTAAAAAAAATATTAAAAGCATCGTCTCCCTTTTGCTGCTATCAGTACTTTTTTATTGTTAACTTCCTGGTTTACTTTATTAACACCTTTATTGAAATATAATTCATACTAGGGGCCCAGTGCATGAATTCATGCACCTTGAAAGAAACTGTGGACTGCGAGGCTGAGGTGGGCATAGGACGGGTCTCGGCCCATCCTCTGCGCCCCTGCCTTGCCCTTCCCACCGCGGCCCCTGGTCCCCTGTCTGCCGGCAGCCCCGCTCCTGCCACCACTGCTCCCATGCGCTGATGGTGCCGGCCCCGCTCGCACCCCCTGACAGTGCAGAGCAATTAGGGCTGGCGCCAGCAGTGGGTGCGAGCAGGGCCAAAGCTGTCAGCAGGTGCGAGTGGCAGCTGCTGCCTAAATCGCCCCTCAGGAGCAGGGGGAGGTTGAGAAACCCTCAGGGGCAATCAGGGCCAGTGCTGGGCACCGGCAGCGGTTCTGGCGCCAGCAGCGGGTGTGAGCAGGGCCGGTGCCAGCAGCAGGTGCGAGCACGGGAGCAAAGAATTTTCAGTAACCACCAGAGGCTTGCCCCGATGACAGCGACTGGCACCCCACCTTGGTCTGGCATCCCCGCTCACCTGCTCCACCATCCCGCTGCAGCCAATGCCCACCATGTTCCACTCGCGCCCCCTGGTGGTCAGTGCACATCATAGCGACTGTTCGGTTGTTCTGCCGTTCAGTCTATTTGCATATTAGGGTTTTATATATAGAGATACCATGCTCTTTACCCATTTAAAATATACAGTTCAGTGTTTTAATAATTTTTATTGAATTCAGAGAGGAAGGGAGAGGGAGAGAGAGATAGAAACATCAATGAGAGAATCATTGATTGGCTGCCTCCTGCATGCCCCCTACGGGGATGGAGCCTGCAACCCAGGCATGTGCCCTTAACCAGGAATCGAACCATGACCTCCTGGTTCATAGGCCAGTGCTCAACCAGTGAGCCATGCGGCTGGGCCAATTTTAGAACCCTTTCTGATGTTCCTTTGGATTTATAGTAAGTAAATTGACTTGTTTTTAAGCTGAGTTTTAGGATCTTGTCTAAAGCTAACAGTTGGAAGTACCTAGCACATGGATAGTAATGGGTAAGAAGGATAGAGCCCTGTGGTATGACAGCATTTAAGTATACTTTGCCTCGTCTTCTCCCCCTGCCCCCAAAAGCTGCATTGCTGTTTTTATGTAGAGTGATCTGGCTTGCTCTAAAGACTTCTAAAACTTGTTAATTACTTTTATTTTTTAATTATAAAAGGAATGTATACTCAGTGCAAAAACATCACAAAATACAAGAAAAGATAAAACAAGGTCTTTCATAATCCTACTATCACAGTTATCTGCTAGTTACATTTTGACATTTAATCTTACAAATGTTTTTGCAACTGCATACACCTCAAATGAAGATAGTTATAATTTTTTACTATAAATGGAATTATATTATCCTGTATAAATAATTGGAAAATTACAGTATTAAGGTAATATATTGTGGATGTCTTTCTACATTAGTTAACATAGGGTAGATGTGTATCATTTCTGTTGACTAGTGTGGCAGTGGTTATATGAATGTAGCATTTAGCAGGTCCCCTCTTTATGGGCCACAAGGTGGTTTCCAATTTTTCACTCTTATAAAGAGTGTTATAGTGAACATTTGTAAATAAAATTTTGTAGTTCATGATTATTTCTTTTAGAGTAATTTCTGGGAGTGAAATTGCTGTGTTAAAAAATAAACTTTAGCCCTAGCCGGTGTGGCTCGGTGGCTAGAGTGTCGGCCTGTGGACTGAAGGGTGGGTCCCAGGTTCAGTTACCGGTCTGGGCACATGCCTGGGTTGTGGGCTCGATCCCCAGTGTGGGTGGGATGTGCCAGAGGCAGCTGATCAATGATTCTCTCTCATCATTGATGTTTCTGTCTCACTCTCTTTCCCTTCCTCTTTGAAATCAATAAAATATATATTTTTAAATAAATCAGCTCCCCCCCCCCCCCAAAAAAAAAGAAAGCTTTATTTAAGAATATTTAGAAATAGGGAATTTAAACAGATTTACTATATGGGATGTTGAAAAAGTTTTAACTCCCACCCAGCCTCCTCATGAGAAGGTACAAAATAAGAGACCTTATTTAGGGCTGGTTTTCCTGTGAGAATGGGGTTTAGTTATTGCCTAATTTTCAAAACTTCTGTGTGGGCCAAGCGTTCTATTTGTGGTAAAGCTTTCTCTTAATAGATATGACAAAGTTAATATGTAACCAGTTTTAGTGTTGTCTTTGCAGTGTATGCTGATGGTAGCATATGTTTAGATATCCTTCAGAATCGATGGAGTCCAACATATGATGTATCTTCTATTTTAACCTCAATTCAGGTAAGTGTGTATTAAGATGCATCATAATTTTTCAAGACTCTGTGGTATCCAATCAGCTCTTTTAGGCATAATCTAAAGACCGAGTGAGCAAATTAACTTTCCCAGCACTGAGGTAACCAGTGGCAGAGCTCAGACAAAAAACCCATGATTTTTAGACGTCTGGTCTCCTTTTTCATTAGTGACCACCTTAGATCAAATCCACAATTATTTTCCTGTTTATGTGTAAGTTAATGTTCTCACAGGCCAAGTATTTGTGCGCATGAAGTATAGCCAGAGGTTGTGGAGAAGAATAAAAAATCTCAGGGAAAGATGAAAGATGATTGCTTAAAAAAAACCATAGGGACCTCAAGAAACTGCCAAGTGCAGAGAATTGAGAATACTGCCCCATCCAAGAAATTGTCTATACTAATAAAAGGGTAATATGCTAATTAGACTGGAAGTCTTCCAGACGTCCTTCTGGACAAAGCTATGGTGGTGGGGGCCGAGGCAGAGGTGGTTAGGGGCGATCAGGCCGGTAGGGGAGAGTGGTTAGGGACAGTCAGGCCAGCAGAGGAGAGCAGTTAGGGGCGATCAGGCTGGCAGGCAGAGTGGTTAGGGGTGATCAGGCAGGCAGGCAGGTGAGTGGTTAGGAGCCAGTGGTCCTGGATTGCAAGAGGGATGTCTGACTGCAGTCAGACATCCCCCAAGGGGTCCTGGATTGGAGAGGGTGCAGGCCCTGCTGAGGGGACCCTCCACCCACCCACACACAAATTTTGTGCACCGGGCCTCTAGTATATATGTAAAAGAAAGTAGTGTAACTATTTGCCAAAGCACTCTGGCAGAATATTTCACAGTGGACCTTGAATGATAGTTTTCTGGAGGGGTGGAGAGAGGTATGTTTTAGTTATGTGGATTTGAGAGGAGCAGAAGTAATGTTTTGGTTTGTGACCTTTTTAAAGCTTTGCTTTATTGGGATCATCTTATAAACATTGTTTTTAACCTTCCTATTTCATCCCTTTGCTGCTAGATATGTTTTATTGATTAAAGGAAACAAGATTATCTAACTTATAGTGAGACATTTGCCAAATAACTACAATAATAGAGCTTAATGTTGGAAAAGGTTTGTTACTAAGCTATTTACAGGTGTTGTATATTAACCAAATCTGCAAATCAAACTGCTCACTTCCTACTTTAATGTTAGTAGGCTAAAGAAGATATTCTTTTCCAATTTATTCCAAAGGTCTTAAGGCAATTGAGAGTGATCTGTTTTAGAAGCTTTTCTCTAGCAGTAGGAATCTTCTCACTGTATTTATCAAGCCATTTCTGAAATTATTTAGACCTAAAAATATGTAAGACATACTAATTTCTGCCATTTTATATAACTTCTGTGCTCCTTATCTGACCCCTGTTAATGCAAAGAACAACTCTGCAACTCTATTTTTTTCTCTCTCTTTCCTTTTAGTCTCTGCTGGATGAACCAAATCCAAACAGTCCAGCTAATAGCCAGGCAGCACAACTTTATCAGGAAAACAAACGAGAATATGAGAAAAGAGTTTCAGCCATTGTTGAACAAAGCTGGAATGATTCATAATAGACAACTGGTCTGTTAATCTTTTTCATCATTGTTGTGTATAATTTACCTCTCAGTAGAAAGGCTAACAAATTTTAAGTGCCACCAGTTTTAAGGATTCTGCAGAAGAAAAGTCCTTCAGTTTAGAACCTATAAAAGCTTGTGTATCTTGATTAATGTACTTTTTATTGCATGGTGTGAACTAAGTTATTGCTTACATAAATTTGTAATATATCCTGTTTGTATTTTTTTCCAAGTGTATAATGTTGGTGTGGAGTTTTCATGACAGAATATACACATTTTGTAAATCTGTACTTTTTTCAAATATTGAATGCCTTATTTTTGAATTCTTTAGATTTTTAAATTGGAGAAAAGCACTTAAAGTTTTTTATATATGAATATTACATGTAAAGCTGTTAAAATACATAACTTCAAGAGACTTTGTCACTTATTTCCTTATCTATGTAGGAGGGGTTAATAAGTCTCTAGCTCTCAATCAATTGATAGTTTCATTTCCAATTTCAAAAGAACAGATTTATATTTTATCAAGAAATTCTTCAAATTTGATTCTAAATACTTATAATCTCAAACTTCATTTTTGAATGAACCTGTATTGCTTTCAATTGAGCAATTGTAAATTGGTTTGTTCTGTCCAACTCTGTACTTAGGCCACTTTTACTGTTTCTTCATGCTCTACTTACTGTTAAACTGTGCCTCTTGTGATTTCACAATTTGCACCTCTACCATGAGGAATTAGCACCTTTACCTTTAATGAGCAGAGAGCTGATGCAACTTATTTGCTGCTTGATAGCACTTTAAAAGACTTTTGATAATGAAGAAAGTAAAACCATAAGCATTTACCAAACATCCATACCCCACTATTAGCAATGAATAAGAATTTCAGTGGACGAGCAAGGCAGACATTTTTTAATCTCCTAAGTTGTATAAAAGTTGTACTGCATCTAGTTTACATTTTAAACATGGTATTGTAGAAAGCTAATACAAAGCTATCCTATGCCTTCAAGTAGGATAGAAAATGGAAAATATACAAGTAAATTCTGTTGAACCACCTGTGTAGTCTTTCTAGTAGTTAAAACAGCTATTTCAGTAATCCCAAGAGTTTTCTTGTCATATTCCTACTAGTATAGTAAGCTCAGAGCTGCTTCTCTATTAGAAGACTGTAAGATGGCAATATCTATAGCTTTTAGTAAGCAAAGTTTAACACTGGAAGGATAAGTGCTGATCGTTTCTTTTAAAGTTATTAGTTGGCAAATTTGGGGGTAAGTGTATGGCCTTAAGTACTTTGATACAAGTGAGAGTTCACTCACTGGAATTAATGGCCAAAACGGGGGAAAGGTACTTTATTTAAAGATACTTTTTGGTCATTTTAAATGTGTGATGCTTTTATATTCAGCTCTAAAATTATACTTTCTATAGACATATAGTCCAGTGAGTGAAGTGACTCTGATAGTTAATACACAGTAGCAATGAGTCTTCCCTCTTACTTCATTACATGTTATTTGGATACTGCTTTGAAATCTATTTTTATCCTTAACCTGTTTTCCTTTCCCTATTTTAAACTGAAACATTTCAAGTATCGATGGGAAATTATTGAAGAAAATTCGTGCACAGGTAGGGTACCTAGGCCTGGCTAGCAGGCCTGCCATCTGGGGCGTTCCTTTGTTTTGTGCCGCCCCCTAGTGGTCAGCACACGTCATAGCGAGTGATTGAACTCCCGAGGGGACACTGCATATTAGCCTTTTTTATATATAGAATATATCTTACTTGGCAAGGAGTCAACTCTGACTCTTAAATCAATGCATGCAACTCACCTAGTCTGCATTTCATTGGAGAAAATTCTTGGGAACGGTCTGTGAATTACTCCTCATAGTTTTTTCCTTCAGCTTAGGAACAGCTTAGGCCAGCCGTGGGCAAACTAAGGCCCGCGGGCTGGATCCGGCCCGTTTGAAATGAATAAAACTAAAAACTAAAAAAAAAAAAGACCGTACCCTTTTATGTAATGATGTTTACTTTGAATTTATATTCACACAAACACTCCATCCATGCTTTTGTTCCGGCCCTCCGTTCCAGTTTAAGAACCCATTGTGGCCCTCGAGTCAAAAAGTTTGCCCACCCCTGGCTTAGGCTAATGAGGACAGTGCAGCAGCTAACACACAAAACTGTTTGTGCATGGCTAAAGCCGGTGGTGATTTTATAGCATCCTGGGCATTTCACATCCATGAAGTGGGAATTGGGCTCCGTACCAGGCGTTTTTCTTGTTTTTTTTTTTTTTTTTTTTTTCCCTTCTGGAGAGGGATGTTGTCATGGGGAAGTTGTCATCGCTAGAAAGCCATTTTCAAGGTTATATCATATAAAAAAATATGTACTTTTAAACTCCACAAATTTTTTTTTTTTAACTCAACACAAATTTTATAAATGGTATGGCAGGAGGCTAGAATTAAGTTATTTGTTTAGGTATGAAGGTGGATTCATGTTAAAATTTAAATACATTTGTGACAAAATTCCTCTTTAACAATGACACTGTACAAGGCACTATTCTAAGAATTCTGACATACATTGCATCTCAGACTTAGTAATCCTGAGGTGTAGGTATCAAAGACTAGCAAACTAGGTACAAAGAGATTAACTGTGACTAGCTCCAGATCAGGGGTCCTCAAACTATGGCCCTCGGGCCACATGCGGCCCACGGAAAACATTGATCCGGCCCGCCGGTTGTTTTTGCCGCCGCTGCCTGTTGCTTAGCAGCCGACTCCTCCCGGGCCGCAGTGCGCATGTGTGGAATGTGCGCTGCACTCTCCGACTCCCCTCCTCCTCTCAGTCTCGGGTGTGATCTCACGAGTCACGAGTCACGAGCTTGCCTGTGCAGAGCCTGCTGCTGCCTGAGGACCGAGGTAAGAACAAGTTAGGATTTATTTTTTTTTTGAAGTTAGGTCTATTTTTTTTTTATTTTGCAGTTAGTAGGGCCTTTTTTTTGAAGTTAGGAGAACCTTTTTTTTTTTGAAGTTTTGTTTTTTTACTTCAAAATAAGATATGTGCAGTGTGCATAGGAATTTGTTCATAGTTTTTTTTTTTTTTTAATATATTTTATTGATTTTTTACAGAGAGGAAGGGAGAGGGATAGAGAGCCAGAAACATCGATGAGAGAGAAACATCGACCAGCTGCCTCCTGCACATCTCCCACTGGGGATGTGCCCGCAACCAACGCACATGCCCTTGACCGGAATCGAACCCGGGACCCCTCAGTCCGCAGGCCGACGCTCCATCCACTGAGCCAAACCGGTTTCGGCAGTTCATAGTTTTTTTTTAAACTATAGTCCGGCCCTCCAACGGTCTGAGGGACAGTGAACTGGCCCCCTGTTTAAAAAGTTTGAGGACCCCTGCTCTAGATCAACCAACTAGCTAGTGATAGAGCTGGGATTTGAACTTAAATATTCTATCCCAATTTATGAAAATACTTTTGATGATTTAGAATTATGTACAGACTGGTATCTGTCCAATGAAAAGGTTTTCCTGACCACCATTTTCCAACTCTTTTTCTAGTATAAAGTCTTGATAAAGGGACATTTTCAGGTCTCTGCTATAAAGGACTATGATTTATCAATAGACCAAAAATTTTTCTCTTCCTAAAAATATCCTTGAGTCTGCACACCCCACCCCCCAAAACATAAGTTCTATTAATATGATTAACTTCTAGAACTGATCTAAAAATTATTAATATAGGTGGAGGTAATAGGGGGGAAAAGCTATTTAAAGTACCTTATTTAGTAACATCTTTTGTGCTCAGTGAATAAGGCACCTAAGTTTATTCATTTAGTACTCTTTTTAAGAAAGAACTCAGGCTTACAGCACAATTTAGTTACATCTAAGGTATTTTGATCTCTTAATTCTTTCATGTTTCAAGAGCAGAGACCAAGTTTTTAGGTCTTGGTGGTGTTTATTACAATTCCTTTATATTGCATTCAGCAATGCAAAGTCCCAAAGAAATCTGTTGGAATTATGTTTGTTAATAGAAAAGTCAATGGTTGGAAAGCTAGTAAAGGTAAATGAAATTGTGCATAGGACCTGGGTCCTTGTGCCAAGATGTGCCCTCTTCAGTTCCCATGTAGTTAGGGAAAACAGCTGTTGTCAGATAAGGGGAAAGATTACTTATCAGTTATTCCAGTATATAACATAGAACAAAGATATGTTGAAAGAATTGACAGTTTTCCTCTATCCTTTAAAAAAATACAGAAATATGTGTCATTCTGTCAGTAATTTCTCTACACCATCACTACAGTTTTTTTTTATATATTTTGATTCTTTTAGTAATTTCTCTACACCATCACTACAGCTTTTTTTTTAAAAATACATTTTATTGATTTTTTACAGAGAGGAAGGGAGAGGGATAGAGAGTTAGAAACATCGATGAGAGAGAAACATCGATCAGCTGCCTCTTGCACACCCCCTACTGGGGATGTGCCTGCAACCAAGGTACATGCCCTTGACTGGAATCGAACGTGGGACCTTTCAGTCTGCAGGCCAATGCTCTATCCTCTGAGCCAAACCAGTTAGGGCTTTTTTTCTTTTTTTAACCTTTTATTATAGAAAATATCTAACAGGAACAAAAGAAGATAGAAAATATATTGACCTTCCAGAGGTTCATCATCCAGGTTCACATTTTTTTTCTTTTCATTATCTTTTTTTCTACCTGACTTCTCTTTTTTTTTTCTTTCCATCACCATGTATCCCCTTGATGGCCTCTTCCTTCTTCACCCAACCCCTCACACATCTAAAATCACCACACTGTCGTCCATGTCCGTGGGTTCTCTCTAGTTTTTTTTTTTCTTTTTTTCATCTCTACACCACACCCCAACACCACCAACAGACAAGTACCAAATGATTTCACTCATATGTGGCATTTAATGAACAAACTAAACTACCAAGCAAAATATAGACAGCATTATAGAGAACAGTCTACTTTTTAAAAATTGTCTCAGAGATCCTTTAACTTGAACACGGCAAACCAGATTCCCTAATCAGCATTTCTAGCCATGACCCCTTAATTGAGGTCATCGGTACTTTTCTTTCTCCCTTCTTGCTCCTCATAGACAATATCCTCAACCACACACTCAAACCATGAGTGATATGGATCACTTCATTTCCTCTTAGTTCTTATATATGTTGGTAATTTTCTCATCCAGCTAGTTAAGGTGTATGACCCTTACTTTGAATTCTTTCTCTGACATATTGCTTGCCTCCATTTTATTTAGTTTCTTTTTTGGCGATTCCTCATTTTCTTTCCTTTGGGGGTTTCCCTAAATGGGGTTTGTCCCCCCATTTTTGCTGTCTCTTTCTGGCCTTGGGGTCCAAGGGGTTGAAGGCCCTAGCAGTGCAATGATCTGGGACTCACTAGACTGCAGGCTGGGTCTACCTTCAGTTTCACACCTTTATTGTCTGCTCTGAGCTGTACCCCTTTCTCCCCCGACTCTGGTCCCTCAGTTGTCCATTTCAGATTCTCATGGTGGGCGGGGGCATGTGCACAGTTCATCTGGTATGCAACTCCCTGTGAGGGCCCAGAGCCCTCTGGCATGCAATTCACTGTGTGACCCCAGCACCCAAGGCAGGATGACACCCTAGAAACCCCTGGCAGCACACATGCAGCATGGTCCTGTGACCTGTGGCTGGGCACACCAGGTTGAACCAGCAGCTCTGAACTGGGAGGCAGGTAGAGCACAGGCCAGGTGACAGCTCCACAGTTTGAATGGAAAAGGCATGCCCTTCTGCAGCCCTGAGGATGGAGCCTGGTCTGATGGGGTGATTGTGGGTGCTCATTTTTTTCTTTCATGTAAATGTAAGTTAGTTGAGACATTTCATATATTCCCAGCTTGGCCTCCAAGGTAAAACGGCAGGAATGAAGTAGTGAGAGTTCACTAAGTGCCAGGTGCTTTCCCAGACATTAGTTTTTCCACTGAATCCTCCAATAAAGATTAAAGGATCATCCCCACTTTGCCGATCCCTATCCTGAGGTGAAATAACTTTGGGAAGCATCTCCTAATTCACATCTAC